ACTACAATGGTACCTTGGTTTTTGAACTCAATCGGTTCAACTTCCAAAACTTTCGAAAACCAAGGCGTGGTTTCTGATTGGCTGATTGGCCCCGGAAACAATGCCAACAGCTGAAATAGACGTTCAGCTTCCGAAAAACGAAAAACATTCGCAAACCAGAACACTTACTTCTGGGCTTGCAGTGTTTGGGAGCTGATTTGTTCGTCAGCTAAGCTGTTCGGGAATGAAGGTTCGACTGTATAACTCCCCAGCATCCCTAATCACCTCCCTCGTTCTCTTAGTTTCAGCATGTGATGGCCTGGGAATCCGATTCAGAGGATGAACCGGAGGAATCCCAGCCTGCACAGGAGTCCCTGCCTCCAGGGCTGGCTGATTCTGAGGCGCCTGCACCTGTGCCGGATCCTCAGGAGCAGGCACCAGGTGAACCCATTCTGGCTGCAGAGGTAGTTGAGGACTCAGTGCCTACAGGTGAGCCTCCCTCTGGGCCCAGTAACCCTTCAGCCTCTCCTGAACTGCAGAGGCTCAGGGCAGAGAGGTGAAGGGAACTGGTTTCTCCCAGGAGGAGTGCTCGCCTTAAGGCCAGGAGAGGCGGGTCTCCTGGGGGCCGGGACCGCCCCTGGCCTCAGAGAAGATAAAGGCCAGTCAGCCCGGTCCCAGGTTGTGGGAGCAACGTCGTCGTTGAGTACCTGCTCCTGTCCGGACCCAGACCTGACCCTCCAGTGTTCCTGTCCCCGCTCGGCTTCCTGCTTCGGACCTCGCCCTGCTCCTTGCGAACTGTTTCCAGGCTAGTGACCCAGGATCGGACTTCGACTACGTCAACGGTAACCTTCCCCCCGGGACCAGCACACAGCACCTCTCAGGTGGGTGCCATTGCCCACTCACATGGCTGGGCAATGGCACCCACCTGAGAGGTGCTGGAACTAAGAGAACGAGGGAGGTGATCATGGTGAGTTCCAGCACCTCTTTTTCCAGAAAAATAGCACCGGCTGGGACTGATGGGAGCTGAAGCCCAACAACATCTTGTTGGCCACAGATACCCCATCCCTGCTCCAGAGCAGGTGTGGAGAACCTTTGGTCCTTTATATGTTGCTGAACGACCACTCCCATCATCTTTATTCATTGGCCATATTGGCTGTGGCTGATGGGAGTCACAGGCCAACAGCGTTTGGAAGGCCAAGGGTTTCCGACACCACCCACCTTAGAGATTTGGACAAGGTCATAATTCTTACATAAAACTTTGGTTCACTTTGTTGGAAATCTGGCTAGTCATGGCTTGGCTAAGCTGGATTGTGGGTTAGCTTTGCTGTTGCTGCAAATGCCCTGTCGGTCATCTTGGTTGACCTATTCCAAGGCAACGTGTTCCCATGCTGCCATTGTTCGAGCTGGCAGAACAGAGCAGCTCTGTACTCAGCTACTCTCATGCTATGTTGTCATGCTATACAGTCTTGCATCATCCCTCCATGCTAACAGGAAAAAAAGTGGGAGGGGAGCAGATTGTTCCTTTTGGTCCTAGAGTGTGCCTGACACTTTCCTTGCCTCACTGCTTGTAATTATGAACAAATTAGAGCACCATTGTCCTCTGTAATAGTAATTTATGCACAGCATACCTTTGTTCACCTTCTCTGCTTTCATTCATTTATTTCCAATGGGAGTTGTGCATTTTCTCACATACGGATTGCTATGCATCCCAGTGTGTATGTCATCGTCCCAAACAATCAGTTGCCCTATTTGTTGTTCAGTTGTGTGTGAGCAAATAATTCCCACCATTTAAAACAATAAAGAGGCACAGGTTTTATTGACCTTGGTAAATGTTTAAGCTAGAAGGAAAGGCAGGAATGACTGCAGAGAAGGAAGTGGGAGTAATAGCTACACCTGCATAGTGCCATTAGGTCAAGCAAGCCTACTCCATGGTAGTTGCAGAGGCAGGAGGTGCACATTGGGCTGGATTGAAGGATTCAAATCTCATCTCTACACATGGTCAAGGGTGTGTGTGAGAGATCACATATTTCCTCCCCGCTTGATGATTTTATTATGTTTCTAAATATGCTGTAATCTGCCCAGAGTGGCTGGGGAAACTGAGCCAGATGGGCAGGGTATAAATAATAAAATTATTATTATTATTATTACTCCCTATTCCATCTCCAAGGCCACCAGACATCCATGCATGGGTATAATGCTTTAATAGGATATACATGTGCAAAATCCAATGTGTGCAGACCTGCATATTCAACTTAATTGGAATATTCCACTCAAAATCTGGGAATACATTGTGCAGTTGGGGGGATATTGGAGAGAGTAACAATGCTATGAGTTAGGAAGTGATGTGAGCAATGCTACAACCACAGCAGGCATTGTAACCTTCCAATAGTTTGACTTCACCCCCAAAGGCGCACTCCTCCATTGTCTCCCAACAAATTCGGATGCCAACAACAACAACAACAACAACAGGAGTGATGTCAGTATTGCTGTCTGTGCCAAGTGTTTTGAATTCTTCTTCACACAATGCCATATGAACCATTAGTTTTTCTTGTTTGAAAATAATCCAGCTTTCCTCATCTGGTCCTCTAGAGCTGGATTCATTTCTTCTCTGTCTGAACTCCAGCGTGCAAGAGTAGCCACACTCTCTTGTGAACAATCAAGCTTATTTCCCCACAAATGATTCTGAAGAGAGTGCTGAGCTTTTAAATTTGAAGTGGCTGCAGCTGAAATATTTCCCCTTGTTTAGTCTAGTAGTTACCATACTCCTAAAACTTATTTAAAATGTTGGCTCTTGGAGAAGTACTGCCTGTCTAAAACCAAACAGAAATAAGGTTAGCTGTATTTAAAAATTCTTATTTATGTTCCAGAACAAAAAAGTGAATAAACAAAATAAAACAACGTAAAGAAATGGGTTTTTAATTGACTGGCTGTTTTGTTAAACTTGTTCTGCTATGTTCTTATCATGTTTTTATTTATTTTTGTTGCTTTAAGCATATACTGAAAAACCAGTATATAAATGAATCACTTCGAGAGTTGATCAGAGGTCAGACTGTTTCCTTTACTTTAAGGATGGTTATTGTGGTTCGGTTGTTCAAGATTGGTTGACAGAAACAAACTATAGTGCACTGAGATTTGCTCAGTGGGCACTGCTACGTATGATAAACATGGGTCCAGCTGCATCACCCTCAACTCACCAATTAGCTTTTGTTCCCTGAAAGGAAACTGCCCTTTCTGCCTTACTCACCCTTAAACCTGGAACTGCTACCCAGCATGCCTCTGTGCAGCCACCTCCATTACTTCCTTCAAATTCCTCCTCAAAACTCGTTTTGCCAGGAAGCCTTGTGACTAGAGCCCTCTCCCCTATAACATAACACAGCCTTCACCAACCAATGTTGCCCGCTGCACACTGTTGGGACTACAACTCCCATAAGTGCCAGGCAGCACAGTGAAGGCTGCTGTAACTAATCCAAAGTATGTTGTGTAACTGGAATATTTCCCCCCTGTTTATAGTTCTACCTCCATTTCTGTCCATTGTTTCCTTGCATTCATTTTTGGATTGAACGTCCCTCAGAACAGGGCTCTCAACACTGCTCTATGTAAAGCCTCCATAGACAGCACTATAGCAGCCTTCTCAAACCTGATGGCCTGCAGATGTTGTTAGACTGCAAATCTGATCCTCTCTAGCCAACATGGGCAATGGTCCAGCGTGGTAGGAGTTTAACACAGGGGTCAGCAAACTTTTTCAGCAGGGGGCTGGCCCACTGTCCCTCAGACCTTGTGGGGGACTGGACTATATTTTGGAAAAAGAAAAAGAAAAAAGAACGAATTCCTATGCCCCACAAATAACCCAGAGATGCATTTTAAATAAAAGGACACATGCTACTCATGTAAAAACATGCTTATTTCTGGACCGTCCGTGGGCCGGATTTAGAAGGCAATTGGGCCTTAGTTTGCCTACCCATGGTTTAACACCACCTGGAGGGCCCCAGGTTCGGGAAGCCTGTACTCTCTATAGAAATCTGTGCTGTATAGAATAACAATTAGCATCCTTTGTCATTCAACTTCTTCACCATGTGCTGATTCTGCCTGGATCCATTCAAGCCATGTTTCCCAACAAGTGAACTATTCTACATCTTTCAGTTGTATAAATTTGTTGTTCCAAAGCCCTCAGCAATCCCTCTCTCTTCTTTACCTACCTATCCTTTGGAATCTCCGTCCTGTGTGTGTAGGTGGCAGCACTGCCCTCTAGCGGAACACCAATCCCTCTTGATGACTGAGGTACCCTGGCAGCAAGATAACCAATCATGGCTTGAGAGGGGTCTACATGACCCAGAAGCTCCCTCGGCCAGTAAAGTGAGATGAGCGCCGCAACCCCAGAGTTGTTCGCAACTAGACCTAACGGTCAGGGGTCCCTTTACCTTTACTTTACACAAAGGCTCTCAGCACAGTGGCTCCTCTACTTTGAGTACTGTCTCAATTCCGAGAGGCTCTTACAATGTTGATATTAATTCATCTGTGGGTCAAACATTTTTAGAGAACTGGATTGTGTTGTTGGTCATATTTGCTCTTTCAATATTATGAAGTTTTAATGATCAGATGGTATGTCACCATGATATTAATTTTATGTGTTTGTGGTTTGTAAATACTTGGATCAATAAATAAAACCAGGAAAGTGTTAAATTTCATTTTTTAAAAATGAATAATTTATTATTACAAACCCCTCCCCCAGTTTTTTCTCTGTTTCAGAGAAACTGGGGAAAGTTGTTTTCATTTACAACAACATATTTCTTTCGGCATACTCCTCAAGCCTCTTTAAAAAAAAAGTGTCCATTCTAAAAACAGAGTCGAGAGTGAGCCAGTTTAAAGTAGAAAGAATTGGGCATGACGAAGCTCAAACTGAGGAGGGGAATCAAATTTACCAAAGAATGTCCTGCAATTTACCGTATTTTTCGCTCTATAACATGCATCCGACCATAACACGCACGTAGTTTTTAGAGGAGGAAAATCCGTAGGCTTGCCACCCGTAGGCATTCCCTCCATAACACGCACAGACATTTCCCCTTACTTTCTAGGAGGAAAAAAGTGAGTGTTATGGTGCAAAAAATACGGTAATCCTAAGCATGTTCACTCACAAGTTAAGCCCCATTAAGTGCAATGGCAGATATTCCCAATACCCCCCCCCCCTTTCCCAGGGAAAGAATTGCAACACTAGAGGAGCCAGAGTTTCGGAGAGAACAAGCCCAGCTCTCAAGAGGGGGCCTAGCAGTGTCAAGAGCCAAGGCAGGAAGTGGAACAGAACAGAACCAGGGTGTTGGGGGATCATGATGATAAGTCTTGTCTGCTTTCTGAGAGATGGTTCTTGATGGGCTTACCATGTGGAATATATGGACTGTTATGAAAACATGCTGAATCAAGAGTGGTCTTAAAACTTCTTCTTCTTTTAGAAATCTCCCAAAACAGTAGCCAGCATTTTGTGCTAAAGAAATGCACAAAATAGGGTAAAATGATTGTATCCACCTTCTGCATTGCTTCTAATCCTCTCTGTATATTGGAGGTAGCCAACATGGTGCCCTGCAAATGTTGCTGGACGACAGTTGCTGTGATCTCTTACCACTGGCCATGCTGGCTGGAGCTCATGGGAGCTGTAGTCCACAAAATTTAGACGGCCACTACATTAGCTGTCCCTACTGTATCCTTTCATCTGGATATACTCATCCTGCATTAATTAGTCTAATCCATTAACAGTGCAGCCCTCCACTCAGAAATAAGCTCTACTGAGTTCAGTGGGACTTACTCCTGGTATCTGATATAGGATTGTAGCCAGCCACGTAAGCACTTATACAAATAGACAACTCCCCTTGGCATTGAATTCCATAGGTTATTTTTACATTGTGCAAAGAAGTCCTTGAGATATCCTTGAACTAGCTTTCTATTAGTTTCATTAGACTGGATACCACCATTCTTGCGTTCTGTGTAAACATGCTTAGCCTCTTTTTACTCACTCTTGCTGCATCATATAAGGTTTCATAAACTGCTGATGGTTTAAACTTTCCTTCCCTGTGTGCAAGATGATCCATGCTTATTTCAGAGGTGCTTTTGTGAAGAAGATACTGCAACTTGTTCTTGACGCCATGCAAGCTGGATGAGAATAGGAGACTGCCCAGGTCTGCTTGTGCAAGGGAATCACCCAGACATGTTGCACTGGGGACTGTGTCAGTCTGACAAATTGATTACACAGACCCAGCTGTGCAAGTCCACTGGCACAAGGGTCAAAAACAAGAAGTATCAGGCATGTGGTAGCAGAGAAGCTGGACCATTGGTCTGCCCTGCCCATCACCTTTTTCTACATCATCTCCTGCTGTATCTCTTTCTGGCACGAAACATCTAGAATGGCACAAGTTATCCAAAAGGTTGTCACACTTGATAAGACCTCTTAATTCCATTATTGTGGTCCCCACGAATTCTGTCAGTGTATGGAAACCTCGAGGTTCTTCAGAATCCCAAAATGCTGAAACCAGGCCAGGTAGTCTCAGGAAAGCTTCTCCCCAACCCCTCCCCACCAAATCCATCCTTACATGGCTACTCGCGCCTTTCTGACAGCAGATTTAAGTTCCTTGTAATCAGCTCACTGTTCTTGGCTCTTCTTATTTCATCACTCTGCTCTTGCTAAGATGCAGCTGCTCATCTCCACATAGGATCGCTTTCATCCTGGCTATGCCTACAACACTGCTGTGCTCAGTGCATTCCACCCATCTAACAAAGAGCGGCAACTTAAACTTGCTTCTGGGTGATGATGTCACGAATGCATTCGTACAGATAAATGTACTTATCCTAGAGAGAGATAGAGAGAGAGAGAGAGAGAGAAGCAGAGAGGTGGGGGATAGAGAGATTAGGAGCTCTGCTCTCATCATCTCCCATGGACAATCAAAGAATTTGTAATAATACTCCAAGGTGAAAAGGGAAAACACAGCCAAGGATTGCCATCACAACAGGCCAGGAATTAGGTCCAGGAATTTACAGTGAACTAGGCAAGCATGCTCAGCTAGATCAAACTGCTAATGCAGCAGCAGAGGCACAAAACCACACTGTGGAACCCCTTATAGCTGCTCTATGGCTACAGGAAGCATGCAGGCTGCATGTGTGATCATCTCTGCAGCTAAGCAGCTTGGTCACTAGGGAGGGCCACATTCTTCTCCTCTGGCAATGTCAGGGAGCTCTAACTTGGTGTGTATGTGTGTATGCAATTTAAGTTGTATGGTACACCTGTGCTGCAGCTTTCGGTCTGTGATAAGTCCTGCAACACACAGGATTTCACTCAGAAGGGCTTGAGCACAATGCCCTCTAGTGGCACAACTGTCACAAAGATCAGCTCATGTGGAAGCAGCCTAATACTGCAGTTTTGGGCATATGTACCTGACATACACAAACCTTTTTATGCAGTAAATGTGCATTTGTCCCTCATTTACTGCATAGAGGCTGGACATCTGCCCTAGAGGCTGGACATATTCCCTGCAGAAGATACTGCTGCTGAGACTGCATTTTCCCAGCGCTTGAAATTGCAATGGTTTGTCATGGGAAAACTGCAGTTCTTCTCTAAGGTAAAAAAGGTAAAGGTACCCCTGACCGGCTTTTGTCTGCAGCCAACATGACTAAGCTGCTTCTGGCGAACCAGAGCAGCGCATGGAAATGCCGTTTACCTTCCCGCCAGAGCTGTGCCTATTTATCTACTTGCACTTGATGTGCTTTCGAACTGCTAGGTGGGCAGGAGCTGGGACCGAACAATGGGAGCTCACCCCATTGCGGGGATTTGAACCGCCAACCTTCTGATCAGCAAGCCCTAGGCTCTGTGGTTTAGACCACAGTGCCGCCCGCTGTATAGTGTACTTATTGCTATTTGATTTGGTGTTCCAAGCACGGATTGGACCTGCACCAGTCACTGGTCACTCTTGGCTACTGATTGCTTTTTGTGTTGGTCACTCTTGTATGCATTTCAGGAAGCCCCTAGAGATCCTCTTCCCCAAGGATGGAATTCAAAGGTGCGCTTAGGAAATTGCTCCGTTAGTGCAAGCATTTCTGCTTGACTGATGGAACAATCCTTCTTCCATGTGCTGTTTTGGGGACTCTCCTGACCACTCCCTTGAACTAATTTGGGGGGGGTGTACAGCGGGAGGAGGAGGAAGCCCCATTGGGCTAGCAAAACTGATTACACTGTCATCCTCTAGTACAACTATTTACTTGAATCCATCCCCCAAAGTCTTGGAGACTATGAACTCTCCCTTTCCTGCATAGCATCATGACTACATCTAGCCTCTTTGAATTTTTCAAAAGATGAACAGCAGCACAAAACGATCCCAACCCCCCAGTTTCTATTACATGCAGATGAAATAAATATCTCACAGAGTCAGAGTATGGAAAATGCTTTGGTTGATGATATGGAAAAGCCTGAACTGAAAACCTTGTTGACATCCCTCTGGCTTTGGTGAAAGAAAGCAGGTCCAAAAATATCTGCTGTGTGAAAGTTGCCCAATATTTCCCAGCCCTTCATGAATACGAGACAGATGGTGGCTGGAGAGGGGGAGAGGGCACTGAGCTGTAGAGACTCATCCAAGGGGCTTGCTATACAAGATCAGACGGAGTCATGACTGGAATTACCTACTTCCCCACTTTGAACCACAATATTGGATAGCCATGAAAAAAGTGTACCACAGTAAAGGGAAAGTCCATCAGGAATCCCACGTCCTCCTTGACTAGCTTTAGGGAGAGAGAAAGCACAGGGGTCCTGCAGGAGAACAGAGCATGGAACAGCATAGTGTCCTTTGGCCTTGACACAGCTCTTGGCTACCATTGCTGTTCAAGCTTCCCTTTCTGCCCTGTACCTACCAGTGTTGGAGTCATGAGGCAGCAGCTCCTCACCAGCCTCAGAACAACACCATATACATCCACACTCTTCTCTCCTTTCAGCTGCTGCAGCAGAGTATCCAGGGCAATCAGCACCCCGATCGGTCCTACGCCGCCAGAACTGTGAAAGAAAAAAAATCAAATAATTTTTTAAAAAATAAACTAGTAAAAAATAAAATAAAAAATAAACTAGTGCAGCCTTCAGCACAGGACAGTTCACAATACAATAAAAAAATACCATCCATAAAACCATTAACCACTGGGCATTAGTTAAAACCAGGAGCTTATAATTCCTCACATCAACACAGCAAATGACAATCACAACACAGGTGATCCTACCAAAACATCAGCATCAACCAAAGAGCTGGATGGATGGGCACGTCTTGGTCACAAAAACTGAAGTCATGAGTGTGGGATTTGGAACTTAACAGGTTAAGTTATTCCCATGATGCCTCAACATTCTGACGTCAGCTTTCGAAGCTGGGAGGAGTTTGCTGTTCCTTTCTGTTCTTTGAGGAAGAAGGACGCAGTTTGTCATGGCTGCAAGTAGTCCTGGGTTTTTCTGAGAAATGTCGGAATAAAGCACTGTAAATAGACAAACCTGGACTCTGTGTGTTTGTCAGAGAAGCTAAGTGAAGCTACGTGACAGTTTTTCACCGCTGTGTTAACTCTGCTGAGGCGTGACTGGAAGAAGACGGAGCTGAGATCGCGCAGCTAAGGGAAGCGCGCCGGGCGGCAATAAAGAGCTAATTGTGGATCGTAAATCAATTAGCGGGGGTCACGCCAAATCAATAAATCAATTCTACAGGTTATGGGTAGCAAATCACCGATCGTAAAACTGTCACTGGAGGTTGCCGAAAGCTTTGAAGTCTGCGGTCTGGAGCAGAGAAGCACGGCAGGAGGCGAAGGCCGGAATCTGAGGCAAGCGACTAGCTGAAAGACGCAAAGGTTTGCCTGTGCTGAGGGCTGCGGAGCTGAGAACAGCAAGGAATCGTTTCTCCACGGACGGGTGCCGGATAAGCTGGTACGTGAGAAATCTTGGGGCCCCTTGGGAGAACGGAAGAAGATGGCGGACAGCCATGATTCATTTTCCGTGCCTTTCGAAAAATTAAACGGCCAGAATTGGGCGGAATGGAGTCGAAAGCTGAAGGCCTGGCTGGTAGCCAAGGGCTTGTGGGAGGCGGTTCTAGGGCCTCCACTACCCCCACCAGCCGTCGGAGCTTCGGCAGCGGACATTGCAAATGCACATGCTTCGCAGAGAAAAAACCAGAAGGCCCTGGGAGCTATAGTGCTCAGTTTGGAGGGTTCTCAGCTGCCCCTTGTGGAGGGATTGGACACTGCGCATGAAGCTTATACTGCTTTGGAAAGAATGCACCACAGGACCACGGCTGGTGCAAAAATCCACACCACCAGGCGTTTGTTTGAGATGAAGCTGCGTCCAGGTGGGAACATCAGACAGCATGTTACTGAGATGCTCTCTGTGTTTAATGAGATGAGGCTGTTGCAAGTCAACTTCTCAGAGGAGCTGAAGGTTTATATTTTGCTCAGCTCTCTGGACAGAGGTTATGACAATTTATGTCTAACTTTGGAGTCGATGAGTCCACAGGATTTGACTCTGTCGTACGTCACGGGACGCTTGACTGACGAACAGGAAAGATGCCTCAGGGAGGGCAAGTCTGGCGCAGGCAGCTCCACCGGTTGCAGGGGGGGGGCCAGGCCAGATGAGAGCTCTGTTCAGGCTTTTTCCACTCGTCGGTGTTATGTGTGTGGATCCCACAATCATTTCAAAAGAGACTGCCCACAAAGAGTGAGGACAGCTGGGCAAGAATGTTTCAAGGACACTTCCCATGGGAATCAGCCGGGTTTCCATGGCAACCAGCCTGGGAAAACAGCCAGGCGTGGGGCTGAGTCAGGTGGACGTGGCAAACAACGTGAGGAGACTTATCAACTTACAGCCAGTCTGGCTTTGTTTCAGGACAGCTGTGAGAAAGGCTCAGAGCTTTGTTTTGTAATAGACTCTGCAGCTAATTGCAATTTGATTCCAGAAACCCCTGCTGTCGAGATGTGGAATTGCAAGGCAATTCCGGCTGGGAAAACTGTACTCTTCGCAAATGGACAGAAAAAGAATGTAACTAATGTTGTAAATGTGCATGTGTTTGTTTTACAGGAGACGTTGGAGTGTTGTACCGTCCCTGGGATGCACCACTGTCTTTTATCTGTACCTTATTTGTTAAAAAAGGGGTTTAAGGTTTGTTTCGAGGATGCTGTCTGCACAATCTCCAAAGGAGGGAGGATACTTGCCAAGGTTAAAAGGGGGCAGAATGATCTCTTTGTTCTTAAAACGCCTCTGGAGGGTGAGGGGAAGGTTGAGAAAGCACAAGCCCTGCGCGCTAAAATTCCCAATCATGTGTCATGTGCCCATGTGTGGCATGCAAGGACAGCTCATGGTTCCCTAGAAGAACTACAGGTGCTGCCTGAGGTTTCCAAAGGTTGTGAAATTGCAGAATGTGGATGTGCTGTAAAATGTGAAACTTGCAAACTGGCAAAGGTAAAAGGGTGCAGTTACCCAAAGGTGGAGAGGGTAACCACAGAACCCTTTGAACTGGTCCACATTGATTTATGGGGTCCTGTAAGGGAAGCGAGTCTGGGAGGTGCAAGGTTTCTGCTGACGATGCAGGATAACTTTACGCAGAACACCTGGACCCATGGTCTCAGATCCAAGGATGACGCAGCACAGCTGATCAAAGGATGGATTGAGGAGGTGGAACAAAGGTTTTCCACCAGAGTGCAAGCAGTCACCAGTGACAGAGACGCTCAGTTTACAGGGTCTGCTTTGCAGAAGTTCTTTCACAAGAAAGGGATACGTCACACAGTGACTTCACCCAATCAGAGGGGGGTGGCAGAGCTGAGAAGTGAGGCTCTGGTTAAGGCTGCACAGGTGATGCTGGCAGATTCTGGGTTACCTCCAAAGTTTTGGCTGGAGGCAATCAAGTATGTGGGCTTCACCTGGAATCGTACCTACAATTCACTGGTAGGTGACACACCCTTTGGTTTGTTGCATGGCAGGAAACCCCAGATTCATTTTCTGCGTACGTTTGGTTCAATTGCATCTGTGCCGGTACCTACTGCTTTGCAGGGGCCAGATGGATCCAAGTTCCAGAAAATGATCTTCTGCGGGTACGAGCCAGAAGCGCGTGCATGGAGGTTTGCGTATCCATCAGGTGATCAGAGTAAGGTGCTGATCAGTAAACACGCTGAGTTCTTTGAGCAGGATAAAGGGTCAAAGACTGCTGTCAAGCGTGATGTGCTCTCAGAATGTCTGTCTGATTCTGAGGAGGAAAGGGAGGCAGAGACTGATCCCGGTGATGGGGACCAGGTCCAGGATCAGGGTTCAGAACCCGGTGATGACGATCAGGTCACTAACCAATGTCAGGAGCAGGATGGGGTATCTGTAACATCTCCACAAGATGTTAAGAGAGAACCCAAAAGCGAGCCTAGTTCTCCTGTGAGTGTAATGGAAAGGATTCGAAGACGCTTTAAGTCAGAGGGGGAATCCCGTGATGCTGAGGACACACCTACTGGTGGCGGTGAGTCAGAGATAACATCTGAGTTTGTGCCCAGAAGGTCCAGTCGCACAACAAAGGGTATTCCACCTGAAAGGTATCAGGCCACAAGTGCGTGGGTAAGTTTCGCACAGTGTGATTCTGGGAGTGTTGAAGGGGTTCAACAGGTGCCTGGGAAAGATGCCGGGAAGGGGCACAAGGCAAAGGGAAAGGTGTTGAACTCAAAAGGGTCTTGTCAGAATGTGCGGCAAGGGGGGGTGTGGGATTTGGAACTTAACAGGTTAAGTTATTCCCATGATGCCTCAACATTCTGACGTCAGCTTTCGAAGCTGGGAGGAGTTTGCTGTTCCTTTCTGTTCTTTGAGGAAGAAGGACGCAGTTTGTCATGGCTGCAAGTAGTCCTGGGTTTTTCTGAGAAATGTCGGAATAAAGCACTGTAAATAGACAAACCTGGACTCTGTGTGTTTGTCAGAGAAGCTAAGTGAAGCTACGTGACAGTTTTTCACCGCTGTGTTAACTCTGCTGAGGCGTGACTGGAAGAAGACGGAGCTGAGATCGCGCAGCTAAGGGAAGCGCGCCGGGCGGCAATAAAGAGCTAATTGTGGATCGTAAATCAATTAGCGGGGGTCACGCCAAATCAATAAATCAATTCTACAATGAGGCAGGGAGTTCCACATACTGGATGCCACTAGATAGAACCAACGGGAGTCGGATAGCAGCCCTTTTACTGATGGGTATCAGCTCAGTGAGATGGGAATGCCTACAGCTTAGGATTGGCCTCACTGGTGCCATATGCAGCAGGAAAAGGGCTACCTGCTAAAAAGGGCTGTCTATTGGGCAAGAGCCCAAGCATACCTGAGAGGCAGGGCCTTACTTGCAATGCAGGACCAAGGGATTTGTTCTTTTCCGATATGGCACCAGTTGCCTGACAGTGGTGAGGAAGCCCACCAGGATCTCAGGGTCTGGAAATTCCTCTCCTTCCCCCAAAGGGAACCGGAACCGTTGCAGCAGCCTCTCCTTGGCCTTTTTCTCCTGACAAAGTAACAAAGACATTATGATAATTGATCCAGCAACTGTTTGGGAATGCAGTGTAGAGGGCAGGCCAATGCACAAATGAAGAATTCTGTGTAGCTCAAAAGCTTAGCTATGGTGACAAGGAGTTCTCCCTGCAAAACACACATGTCCAATGATATTGCTTCATTGTTCTTCTTGCCCTTGCCCATGGCCCCATGGCTTTCCCCCACTCTTCCCAACTCACGTACATATTTCAGTCTCAGCTGAGTGCATGGCCATCCTGAAATAACCTTCTCTGGGCCTTGCTGTATGGTCAACGTCTCTGTGCACACAGGTTCACCCTCAGAGGGCCAGCACGAGTTGTCTGGAGCCTACACATACACACATAAAAAACAGGGGTTGTAGCTGCAGTTCCATTTGCCCTGACCACATGGTGCCACCATTCAGATATAGCCTCCAGTTACATGGGAACGACTTGTGGAAAAGCAGTTCTTACACAGCCAGGATTCTAAATGGCACAGCTCTCAGTTCCAGGCACCCAAACTGAGCCTGTCCCATAGTTCTGTGCTATGGCCCCAGCGATTGCAGCTATCCCAGAAGGACCTGCCTCTATAAATCTGTGGATCTGCATAATGCATAATGTGGATCTTACGGGGCTGTTCGTCTGTCCAGGTAGTAGAGTGATGATGGTATGGACTCCATGTTCCCAAACCAGCCCCCAGAATTCCTCCACGGCCAGTTTGTCAGGTCCTTCAATAGCTATATAGTCCTTGGCCGAGTTACAGCCCTGCCAAAAGAAAAAGAAAAACAGAGTCTCATTTAGCAGAGTTAGCAAAGTGCCTGCGACAGAAGATAAGCCTGGTCTAAGCTTGGATAAGGATTATCCAGGCTGCAGGTTATGGTATCTGTAACTGGCTTATTCTCCCATGGGAAGTTAGTTGGAGATGAGGCACCAGGAGTTGCTGGCAAATTTAGTGACAGATCAGAGGGTGAAATGAAAGCATATTTTCTTTCTTTAAGTACTTGTCTTAGACTAGATTTCCTGGTCTTGATAATCAGGGAATTTTGTGAACTAAACTACCCTCATAGATTGTCGAGGTCAGCCAGCTCCAGCCTGGTGTTCTTACATTTGGCCATGCTGGCTGGGGCTGATGGAAGTTGTAGTCCAACAAATCTGGAGAGCACCAGGTTAAAGAAGGCTGGCCCAGGTCAATGATTCCAAAACTTGCTGCTATATAGATTCCCAAACAAGGTATTACATTTGAAATTTACTTGCTGTATCCCTCATCCGGAAGTCAGCTCTCCATCCTCTTCCACTGTATTATCTCCTATACCCACCACTGGCAGAATAGTCACAAAGTTCCCACAATGCACTATTTGCTTTTACTGTAATTACTTAACAATTATTTGTAGCTAGTGATCGTGTACTCGGCCCTCCTTTGTCTCTGAATATACTTTTACCAATGGAACCTCAGAAAGTGTTTGCCATTTTTGCACAGTGGCATTTTAGCAGGTCTTGTATTTATTTCAGGGGCTGCAATAGATCAATTGGTAGAACATGAGACTCTTAATCTCAGGGTCATGGATTCAAGCCCCACTGGGAAAAAATATTCCTGCAGTGCAGGGGGTTGGACTACACTACCTTTGTGGTTCCTTTCAGCTCTATGATTCTAAGAACTCACTATTTATTGAGTAGTTTTTGCACACTTGGGCTTATTTTCCTTGAAGTGGCATTCCTTTTACACTTGTACATTTTGTCCCAACTCTCCAGTTTATCAATATTACTTTGATTTCTAATACAGTGGTACCTCGGGTTAAGTACTTAATTCATTCCGGAGGTCCGTTCTTAACCTGAAACTGTTCTTAACCTGAAGCACCACTTTAGCTAATGGGGCCTCCTGCTGCTGCCGCACCGCCGGAGCACAATTTCTGTTCTCATCCTGAAGCAAAGTTCTTAACCCGAGGTAATATTTCTGGGTTAGCGGAGTCTGTAACCTGAAGCGTATGTAACCTGAAGCATATGTAACCCGAGGTACCACTGTAGTGTCTTCAATAATGCCCTGCTTTTAGTTATCCAGAGATGTGAGTGCTTTGTTTGCCACACTCTTGTCTATCTTATTAAATACTGAGCCAAGGAACAGCCAGGATCACAGAATCCACTTGTTACCTTCTCACAGCTTGGCAGCAGTTGAGTTGTACTTGCTATGGCCTAGCCTTTTCTCTCTCACCAAAGCAAGGAAAAGCACATACAGTCATACCTCGGGTTACAGACGCTTCAGGTTGCGTTTTTTCAGGTTACGGACCGCCGAAACCTGGAAGTACCGAAACGGGTTTCTTCCGGGTTTCGGCATTCACGCATGCGCAGAAGCACCGAATCGCAACCCGCGCATGCACAAGCTTGCAGGTGCGGGTTGCGAACGCTGCAGGTTGCAAACGTGCATCCTGCACAGATCACGTGCACAACCCGAGCATCCACTGTACATTTATTTCATAACATTTCATTAAAAAGTATAGACACCTCTTGATTGCAAAAGAAAAAAAACCCTCAAAGCAGTGACACAAGCAACTGATCCCTTCTATAGGAGTGCAGCATGCAGCAAAGACATCTGGAGGCAACAACAGAGGACCCGAAAGGAGGGAAATGAAATTCATGGTGGACTCACAGGGATGAGCCAGACATTCGTGAGGTCTGAGAAGGGATCTCGATCCAGCTGCGAGAACTTCACTTTTGAGCGATCATCTGCAAAACAGCCTTTGTGAGAAGGTGGAGGGTTGGGTGACACAGTGCCGTCAGGCACAGCTCAGTCCTGCGCTGCAGAATTTCAGCTCAGCGCCTTATGTCCCACCCGTGATTCATGCAAAACTAGCCACAAAACCATTTACTCACAAGAGTTCTTGCTTGAGGGAAGGTTGATCTGTTGGTTGCCACTGCTAGAAAGTGGTACTGCTGAATTGACTTCCTCTTTGGCAGCCTCCAGGAGCATCTGCTGATTGGGAGAAGCAAAGTAGGAGGGAGAGAGAGAGAGAGAGAGAGAGAGAGAGAGAGAGAGAGATGGAGAAATAGGTTGGGGTGGACTTTTAACTATGATTGAGCATGCAGGATCGCTGACCCCAGAGTCAATGGTGGGTACTTTAATCATTGATACAGTTGCTAATGCAGAGATCTTCAAAACATTCATTCCAAAGAGTTAACTACATGCTACATGCAGCTGGATGTATATTTTCACAGCTTGAGCCTGAGCTGCCCTCAAAGTGATAGTCGTGCATCTCTGATGCGGCCCAATCTGGCCACCTACATGGCATGTGGAGTTGGAGCACCCTTAAAACCCAGCGTCCCTGTGTGCCAACCTCTTACCTCATACTCCCTTAGGAAGCCAGTGTTGGCCTTGGAACTGTTCTTTGCGTGGTGCTGAACAAAGTTCTTGAGAGGGACTGGATGGGAGCTTGAGAAAACATGAGAGAGGCGTTTAATTATTCCGCTTCCCCATTCTATATCCCTCTAACATGAGCTGATGGCACAGCTGCATTGAAAAGAGAACAAGAACAAGACACTGTGGTTCCAGGAGACTCCTTGCAACTCCTACTGAACAAGAAACCTCTGTTGCTATTTGAGGCAGGCCATGCCTATTTGCAATGAGTGTGGTGTCCTAGTTGCTGGTCCCTATAGACCTTTCCAGATGATGAATGGGGAAACCAACCAACCAACCAACCAACCAACCAACCAACCAACCAACCAGTTTTTCCCCTTTGCATTATACTTGTGCTAGCAGTGATCCAGCAATGTAATAGCCTGTTTGCACATATGGGTGGGGAAGAAGGAGTAGCTTCATTTCTGGAGACAATAGCTATGTGAAGCAGGGGAAGGAGAGACTTATAGGAGAGAACTATGCATTCCACTGGTATGGAAAGGGAAATTGGGTATAAACTTACAGCTCCACTCCAGACAGGCCAATCTGTGGGTCTTCAGAGATCTTCTCTAGGATGCAGTTGTGCAGGAAAATGTACTGCCCCTGGAAGAGAAGAGCACACATTTTATGCACACAGAGACCCTGAAAGCACTGCAGTGCACCTTGAAATAGAAAGGCAACCAGATCTAATCATTATAATGTGCAGCTGGGAGCTTCAGGCCTCTATTCCTGAACTGGCACTGACTTGCCAAAGACCTTTCTACAGCCTCTATAAATGAAATGAAAAAGAAGCTGTTTGCAAACCAGTTGACAGCCAATGCTTGTACCTCATCCTATGCTTATTTTTCAGTAGTTGCCCATTTTGTTCATTTACTTCTCCACATGCCCATAGAAGATGCCCAAAGGATCCCACCCCTTCACTGAAATTAGGCTTGAAAGAAGCATTCTCTTGTAGTTTGCCATGTGCTCTTGGTTGCAGTGTGTTTGTGTGTGTCTGTGTGCATGACAGCTTTTCTGGCTTGCCAATGTGCTTATGGACAACAAGAGGTTGGCTGCTCCTGCCATGTCTTGGGCGCTCCCCCAGGCCCCTGCTGTTCCTTCTAGTTTCTGTTGCCCATTGTGTCTCTGGCATCTTCTCCATCCCTCCGCATTGGCCACAAACACCCAGCAGAAAGGGTAAGGCCATCTTGTGTCATTGAATGATTCTCATGTCAGGGAAAACCAGCGACCTGAGAGGCAGCTCTGAGTTTCTCACCAGTGTCTGAATCATCCGGTGGCGGTTCATCCGCAGGCTGTAAATGGTGTTGAACACATCCACCACCTTCTCGTACTTCATCTGCTGCAAGAGCCGATCCAGAGCAACAAAAGTCCCGGTGCGTCCCACACCTGCACTGCAGTAATACAGGGAAAGAAGAGGCTCTTTCACACAGCTCACCTTGGAGGCCTTCATTCCTTCTCATTCTCTGCTCCCTACCTTTTGTGACCCCAGCAGTCAAGGAATTTGGGCAAAGAGGACACCTGATCATGCCAACCATGGCAAGGCAATGATGTTTACCAACTGAATGATTTTATGGCAGCATTTTTCTTGATGTTTGGTTGCCTTTGCAGATTTTGGTAGTAATTGTCGAAATCTAGGGGGGTCGAAAGGCCAGCTGGCTCGGCCCCAGCTGGAGCATCTCGCCTCAGCCTTGCCGCTGCGGAGATTCATCAACCTCTGCTCCGATGTACATCAGTGACTCAAGCTTGCAGACTTGAGCACACTTTACTCAGCAGTGTAAACTGCGCAACGGAAGAGGCTTGAGGCTGTAGACACATACTAAACTACGCATTTATTATACATAAATCAAGACAAAGAAAACATGGCATCTCTCCTTGCCGTCTTCTTGAAGAGAGGCTAAGAACAAAAGCAATGCAGAGCGAAGTTCTCTCACGCCAGCAATCTGTGCTGGAATGTAAACAGACATGTGACACGCAACAATCCCATGTCTGCAGCAAAGGATGGAATGGAATCCCAACATTAATAACCAGCCAAGTGGGTTGCCTGAAACTTACCTGCAGTGTACCAGCGTAGGTCCAGATTCCTTTGCACCCTGCATGTGTGCTCGCACCAACTCTATAAAGGCAATCATGGAAGCTGTGGACTCAGGAACACCATGATTAGGCCATGCTGTGTAGTGCAAGTGAGTTACTCTCCTTTCCATGTTTAGCCCTTCCTGTGTGATGAGAGATGCCCACATTAGTGCCCACAGAAGCAGCTCAGGCAAAGTCCTAAACCTGAAATTGCAAGAGAGGAAGCATCTGCCATTAAACTGCATGAGATATGCTTCTGCTGAATTTGGGTGCTACAACCAAGAAAGCTGGTCCACAAGCTTATGAAGCATGTACTCTTTATTCCAGATTTTCTCAACCGTCCGCAAAAGGTAAGAGCTTTGCCTTGTTTCCAGTCATTAGGATTCCCTGGAGCACCACAACACTGCGGTTTATATTATATTTGCATTTTTGATTGGGCAAGATTATTGGGAGGTGCCATGGGGTATTTCTGGTCTCCTACTCACATGCTGGAGCTTGAACTCCCGTGTAGTCCACTCATCTGCAAAATTCTGAGCGAGCAGGTGGATGCTGATCTGCCCAAAAGAGGTGGGAGAAGTGTCCGAGGGCCAGTAGTATTCACACAGCACCTAGCAAGGGAGATGGAACTGCAATTAACATTTTCAAAGGAAATGGGAGCCTTGTTTCCTTATGTATTGCCCCTGGCTATCCTTGTGCAACATGCTTGGTGGATTCTACAGTGCTGTGCACAACACATACTTCTATCTTCCCTGAAAACAAACCGCTTCGAATGCAGGAAATGTCAAAACCACTTCCACCGTGTTTTGGAGTCTCTATTTGCACTCCTGTGTATAGTATGCTTGTTAAAAGTAACCACACAAGATGGGAGGAGTTCTCCCTTTTTTGGCCTCGGCATTTTTGTGTGAGTAAGCAGCACAGTAAAAATAAATAAAAAGAATGGAATTGAGTTACAAATCTTAGCTTGTTATTATGTCACTATTTAAATGAATGATTAAATTAGATTGTTTTAATACGAGTTGCAGATTGTTTTGTGCTGATCGGTCAGTTTTTATGGATATTTTATAGTTATATTTGGTGACTTGTAGTAGTGGTTTGATCATCGTTAGCTGTCCTGGGCTCTTGTTTTGGAGGCACAGCAGGATACAATAGCAGAAGTAGCAATAAAAATGCTTTCATTATTTTCTCTCTCCCATAGATCTTTACCGTGAAGCAAAACCAGCATCAGTCCCACATTTCCTGCACACTGGGCTATGATTATGTGTCAACTTGTAGGAGTAATATACCGCAGTCGTTAACTTTCTCTTCAGCTGGCACACAATAATAAATCATTCCTATACTTCTGGGAATTCCCATTGGCCAATAGGTTCTTCTAATTTTAATCATGTATCCTAGCCTTTAATTTGCTTTTTTCTTAACATTCATTATTTAAGAAAAGTTTATAAATTTTTGATCAGCTACCACCCACAAAAAGATGTTAACTCAGGCAATTAGAAATGCTGGACTCTTAGCTTATATGCACAAGATCTCAATTGTTATCGTGCTTTTCTGCTTCCGGGGGAGGGGGCAGAAACTGTTGGGGATGATTCTGAGTGGGGAAATGTCTGGTGGGTAAAGGGTGAGGCACTGATCCTTCACTCAAGATCAAAGCCTCCCAAGTCTGCTTTACATTTTTTTTTGTTACACACATTTTCACACTTTTGGCCCTCAGAATTCCCTTCCACTAGATATAAAGCAACAGGCCTCTGACAATACGGATGGAAAGAAGTATTGGTCCCAAGTGGCCATCAAGACTCTCCCACTACTGAAAGCACTGATGCTACCACGCTGTAAAACTCTTGTTCCCTGGACCATATACAGTAGGGCAGGGATGTGGAACCTCAGGCCAGGGGCTGAATGTGGCCCTCCATGTTTCTCTATCTGCCCCCCCCGATCTTTCCCCAAGCAAGTCCCTTCTTCCATGGGCCCTGCTTTGTGTGTTTCAACTTGGCTAGAATATGCATTTCTGCTTCTTGTTTGTTAGGGTGGAGGATAGGAAAGGGCACAAGAGTAAATTAACATTGATTGCTCCACCTGCTTCTGCTTCTAGCCCCACCCACCTCTGCCATGTGGCCCCTGGAAGTTGGCCAAGAAGGGAAAGAGGCCTATGGGTTGAAAAGGGGGACCCCGCCCCTACAGTAGGGGCTTCCATCAGACCTACTCGTCCATTCTCCATGCCCACGGTCAGCATGACAATGGTGCAGATGTGCTGCTCCCAGACGAGCCGCCAGAAATCATCCAGGGTTTTTTTCAGGGGCCCCTGTGTGGCGATGAACTCCTGCGGGGAGTTGTAACCCTGAAAGAATGAATGAGCAGAATTAGCAATCGCAGAATGCTTTCCTTGAATCAAGGAAAGCGTACAGTATTGATTTGGTTTAATTATTCTGTATTGTGGTTGTTTTTTGTTTTTTAAAAAATAGAGCAAAGTTTAGTTTACACCTTGAAATAACTTTGGGAACAATCCAGCACATTTCAGTGCTGACCAAGTCCTACTGAAAGCAATAGGATGAGTTTTAAGCTTGACTTGTTTTGGATGCTTGTGGTTATGGTCTTGCAGATGTTTGCTATTTCCTCATGGCAGCCTTCTCCAACTTGGCCCTTCCAGATGTTTTGGACTACAACTCCCATCAGCTCCAGCCAGCATGGGTGGGGTATAAATAATAAACTTGTTGTTGTTGTCATCCAAAACAGTTAACAGTGTTTCAGATCTGTTTGGAATGCTGTTTATGCTACACAGCAGCCTTCACCAACTTGGCCGGCTCCGAATGTTTTGGACAACACTGGTTGTGACGTTCATTTATATCTTGCATGCTTATTTATGAACATAACCAAATAAACTTCTCATGTAACCAATTATTAACAGATGGAGGTACTGATGTTTAGCTGTATGGATTCAAACTGAGTACATTCTGAGTCATCCTTCTGCTGTAGCAAAGTTATAGAGGTTTAATTCTCCATCCTACAAGAATATTGTTGCATATTCCTTACGGCACCTTTCCACCATTATTTTTAAACAGCAAGTTTTAAACCCTTCTAATAATGGAGGAGAAACACAGTGAGCCGCACAATCCTATGTTCACCCCTGTCATACACCAGAACTACAGACAAGCTGGTGGAAAACTCCACTTGTGTCACTGGGAGTTACCATACCTTGCTGGTAACTCCATCTCTGCTGGTAGAGCCACATTTTCTAATATCCCTCAGTCAGTGGATCTGTAGGATAGCATCACACCTTAAAAGGCTCAAAATCCAAAATGCTTCTACATTCCATATGCTATGCACAACATTCAGCTCAGGACACAGGGAGTCAATAGAGATCAAAGATGGTCTTTTCAAGAAACCCTTTAAAAATCTTGGATTAATGTGCTCTGTGGGCTCTTCTAGAGTGAAGGAAAGACCCACTGGCTTCCTCAGGTGATCTCCCATTCTCCAAGCCACAGAATGCAGTAGGCACAGTCCCACATGCTTAAGGAATGCAAGTTCATAGAATGCTGCCTCACTGGGCTTGAAGAAACGGAAGATCAGATAGCTCAACCTGAAACTCTAAGAAAGATTTCTCAATGCACTACCCCATGCCTACACCATTAACACACTCAAGCCACATCATGATGCATGTTACAATGTGCCACAGAGAGCTGAAGCGAAGGAGGTACCTTCTCAGCAGAAGTCACTACACTTGGGATGGGGAAACTGTGGCCCTGCAGATATTGTTGGGACTACAGCTTCCATAATCTCTGATCATTGGCTATGCTGGGTGATGGCTGATAGCAGATAGAATCCATCAACATTTGGAGAGTCTCTCCAGTGAAGTGAAGCCAGGAGAGCAAGAGGGATCCGTGCACACCGATTTCTCTTGCTCTCCTGGCTTCAGCGAAAGCAATGGGAAGCCTCCCTTCTCCATAGGTGGTGAACAATTTTTCAGTAAAAGAGGGGCTGCCAGGAATGAGCAGTTGCACAGATCCTTGTTTGGCAAAAGAGAGGCTGCCACCTTTGCCTTATCTGCTGCTGCTCACATTTTTACAAATACAAAAAGAGCCTTGCTGGATCAGACAGATCATATCCTCCAGTGTTGTGTTTCCAGTAGTGGCCAGCCAGGCACACACTTTTTAGCCAATGCAGCTTGCAAAGGAGATGCTCTTGTGCTAAAGAGGTTTGTTTTCTAACTTTAGATGTTAACGTGCAAATGAAGCACAGTGTTCTTACACAAGCATGCAAACATGACTGCTGTGCTATTACGCACGCATACCATGTACACTCAAGGCAGACTTGGGTGTGCAAATACAAGTGCTGCATGCACACACATAAAGATGCGCTTTCTAGCCATTACCTGGATAAATCACCAGAGAGGCATAAGGGAAACATCCAAGCTCTTTAATATGCAGCTGTAAATAGCAGGAGAAAGAGGAAAGACAAGTGAAAGTTTTAGAGCAATGGGGCTGCTCAGGGAGTGCCCTCGCTCCATTCAGTCCAAACCCAAACATGTTCTGGGGGAAACAGCTCTGCAAGTCTGAAGAAGAGGCTAGCCGCACATGGTGGTGATTGTCTGGCCCCTGCAATGTCACTAGGACATACTACCCAGTTTCAATCACCAGAGCGGTTTTGAACTGGTGAGGTTTTATTAAGAAATTAAAAGAGGATGCATATAAATGTGTGAATGTTCCTATGGTGATTTAAAAAATTTAAAAGTAGACAGCCCCCCTGAAGCTGCGGGTATGTGAGAAGACTGATGGTGACATAATATAATTTGCTTTCATCCATCTTTGTCAGTTTATGAAGCCAGGCCCATCTTGCAGCTGAGAGACATCTGCGGCTTCTCTTCTGCTCTTATGCCTGCCTTTGCCTAGAGATGGACTAAAGTAAATTTGGACTGAGGAAAACATGGTGTCCATGCCTGAGTCCGCTTTTAGACCATGTTTACACTCATGTGGAAGTTATGATATTCTGATAGCTTGTTCAGTTGACCCATCCTCCCCATCTTTTGTTTTCCTTTTATCCTTGTCTATTTTCGTATTACCTTCCTACTTACTGAAAAGAAAAGAAAAACTGGATTTTCTATCATTCCACAGAAACCAAAGAGACTAACAATATAGTGACAGAATGTAATCATTAGAAAAGTCTATTTGCTCCACATGATATACCTGCTGTGTCCTAACTGAAGCTATAGTGATGCAAATTCAATAAATAAAATAAATCGATCAAATTTTGTTCCCAACTTTGCAGAGTATTCTAATGGTCAACCAGGCCTCCTGAGATTTAGGTTTCATTCCTGTGTGAAGTCATATGTGAAGATTTTGCTGCAAGTGCCCTAACACCCTGTGCCTTCCTATGAGATGCCAGTAAGGTTACAGAAGTATTCAAAGAACTCACTGGCACAAAGTTGGCATTGATGTAGTCAGAATGTGGTTCTTCATCCAGCAGGCTCAGCTTCACTCGGGAGTAATCATCTGCATAATTACATATAAAAATGTTACATTAAACACAAAGTTGCTAATATATATAAACCAATATAAATTCACTGCTCTCTCTGACGTGCATGTTTACCCACCGGACAATCCCCATACAGAGTTTCAGGAAATATTATGAGACAAGGGCAGCAAATTCCAATCATGGCTTCTCTTAGGATTTTGAGGTAAGTGCTCCTCTCCTCTGATCTTTCTGTTTGCAAAGGACTGTAATATTCCTTTACAGCACGCAAAGGAAGAAGGTACACAGAAGACAAAGGTGAAATCAGATTCTCCAGGTTGCAACTTGGCAGCTCTGTGGAAGAGTTTAGCCAATTCTCTGCTTTTTGTGTGATGTGAAGGTTGGCAACATTAACTCCACTGTGTGGGAATCCCTTGCAGACGACCACAGTGCCTGGAGACAGGCAGTTAGATTGTGTATCCACAGCAGTGACCAGAGGAGGAATGATGGCTGGGATAAGCGCAGAGATGGTGCATCTGCAGCAGCACAACCGGATGCCTTCATCTTCCCCAGCTGCAACAAAACATGTCTCTCCCGCATCGGTCTCTACAGCCACAGCAGGCGTTACAACCATCCAGCAGCTTGACCACACTCCTCCTGAGACAGATGGGTGCTGACCATTAAGCGGTACAGAAATTAAATAATCAATCAATCAATCAATCAATCAGTGCGCACACTTTACATGTACAGATCACACACACATTCACTCCACCACACATTCACCAGGCATACAGCTCACACATGGTCACACTCACACACATGCAGACGCATGCATGCACACCATAGTGGGATTTACCATGGAGGAGACTTGTTCAGGGGGTGGGGTAAAGCAGGGGAAAGGGCAAAAGGATGAGGAAGGGGAGGAGGGGGTAAAAGTTGCATGAAGGTGTAGCCAACCGTCTTTCAGCTCTGTTACAATTCATGGGACAGGAAATGGCTAAAACTGCAACATCCAATAGATTTGTAAAATGCATGAAGCCAACCAGAGAAGGGAGTTTGCCAAGATAACCCAACTAGGAAGAGGGGGGAAATTAGCTATACATAATTCTGTCCAGAACTTACATGGTAGAACATGAGGATATCGATTCTTGGAGATGTTAGCAGGCAGTTCAGCTTCCGTTTTTGGCTGCTCTTTCCCTACTTCCTTCAGCTCCTGTGGGACAGAAGGAGAAAACTTTTCTCAGCAAGATCCCCTATGTCAGTTTGAGTCAGGTGCCAATCTCATAGAGAAGGGGATTTATTATTTGTTTAGAATATTTATCTCCCGGCTTTATGGCCTGAGAGGCTCCCAAAGCAGCTTACAAAAGATTATCACAATTAAAACAAACCACATTCAAGTCTGGTATCAAGGTCAAAGAAAGCCAATTTATTTGGCTTTCCCACCTGCCAAATAAATTTAGAAATATTGTTTTTCCATTCTTTGAAGCAGTCTGAATTGTTTACAATTGGGATTTATTGGAATAAAAACAGCATCCTGGGCAATAAATTCATTTTAGTGGCTGAAATTCTACCTAGCAGGGAGAGCTTCATTCTCTCCTAAATCTCCAACTCTTTCTTAACCTCTTTCCACAATTTAATATAATTATTTTCAAATAAATTGCAATTTCTTGCTGTTAGCCAGATTCCCAAATATCTTACTTTTTTTTTACATATTTTCAAACCAGACATTTTTTCTAACAATTTTTTTTCCCTGATCATCCATGTTTTAAACCAACATTTTGGTTTTATCTGAATTTATTTTAAAACCTTGGCCTCTTCTGGTTTGACCATTGTTTAAACTGATATTTGAAGCTACAGACGTACCTTGGATCCCGAACGGTGCAAACCTGGAGTAAGTGTTCCAGTTTGCGAATGTTCTTTGGAACCCGAACATCTGACAGGGCTTCCGTGGCTTCCAATTGGCTGCAGGAGCTTCCTGCCGCCAATCAGAAGCCGCGTCTTGGTTTTCAAATGTTCTGGAAGTCGAATGGACTTCCAGAACGGATTCCATTCGACTTCCAAGGTACCACTGTATAGTGGTGGTTGGGGGCGCCATGAACATAGCCTCTCTTCTGCCTGAATTTATAGCAGTCAGCATATGCTGGCAGAGAAATATTCCTCCTTCTAGGTTAACTAGAACCTACTGACACCAAGTAACAAGAAGAAGAAGCGTTTGGATTTGATATCCCGCCTTTCACTCCCTTTTTTAAGGAGTCTCAAAGCGGCTAACATTCTCCTTTCCCTTCCCCCCCCCACAACAAACACTCTGTGAGGTGAGTGGGGCTGAGAGACTTCAAAGAAGTGTGACTGGCCCAAGGTCACCCAGCAGCTGCATGTGGAGGAGCGGAGACGCGAACCCAGTTCCCCAGATTACGAGACTACCGCTCTTAACCACTACACCACACTGGCTTCTCAAGAAGAGGAGACTGCACGCTACTCAGTATTATGTTGATTTGGGAGGAGAGGAGAAACATTTCATGTTCACCTGCCTTGGTTTCAATGGATATTTCATAGGTAGTGAAATTTAGCTCTAATAAAAGTACGAAACTGGCAAAATTCTGCAACCTGCATTCAATGGTGATGTTGTCTGACCGTGGCCTCACAGTCAGCCTGGATTAAATTTGAAGAAGAGGGGAGCACTTACCTCAAAGTCCTGAGAGAAGCCATGATTGGAATTTGCTGCCCTTGTCTCATAATATTGCCTGAAGCTCTGTATGGGGATTGGCCGGTGAGTATTTCTGCAAGAAATAAAGATGCACATAAGAGCGAGGAGTGCTGTGCAGGGATCCTCCTTTAGGTAGAATGAAGATACCGAGAGAGTGGTTCAATGTACATACACAACAAGTTAGGTAAAATTCAGGTTCCTTTCCGATAAGTCTCAAATTACAAACACGAAACATTCTTTTGTAATAGAAGTTATATCAGCAGGTGTATGGCAAACTGTTATAGTAGCCAAAGGAGGCTATCAGCCCATTGTTTGAAATGAAAATTCAACATAACTTCAGTTTCAAGGTATGGCATGAATCTAAGCTTGGGGGAGAAATGCTTATCTACCTAATACACATTCTGAAATAATATATGAACTGAAACAGAGCCATCCTTTGGGGAAAGTCATCTTTCTCTGAATTCTGCAATGCAGTTCTCCAGACAAGTAACATGTCCAGCCAAGTAACATGCAGGAATTCTAACACAAAATGCACATTCCAGGGGAAATTGTGCATATAGATTCATATATTACTGAAAATAGCATACCCAAATGCATTACGGTATATTACTTTTAAAAAGCTTTTGCAGAAGATTCACCCATCCCTACAGGAATCCCCTTGGAGGACAAGAGGTGGGAAGGAAGTTGTTTATTTAAATGTTGTGCCTCATTTTCTGGGACTAACATATAATTAAACCAACTCAGCCTAGAGCAAGCTGAAATTCCATGTGATGAGCCCTTAGAGGGAGAGCTGGTGCCACAACACCTCCTTGCCAGGATAGACTGGAATGGCCAGACCCCCAACTCCTCCTGCCCCAAAGCCTGGCTTGTTGCCTATGCTGTGGCAGAAGATGACACTAAGTGAGCAGGGGAGACACGAGAGTAGCTTCACTCACCTTGGGCTGTATGTGGCCATTTCTTGGGGGATGTTACCCTTTTTCATTCTGAAAGCAAGGCACATACATGTAGGTAGTTAATTCCTAGTGGGGAGACAAGCATCTTCCGTACTGCTGACTCTCCCACCTAAGGGGAGAACTATATGTGTTCCCAAACTTATATATGTTGAGGAAACACGAGTGTGCTTGGGGTACAGGGGGCATTTTCAATGTCACATGATGTTGATTATTCTGTCACTGCCAGATGGAATGATCCCCACCCCTTTCCTTGCCTCGTGTGCTGCCCTGTGGGTTCCCCTGCCCCCCCCGTCAATAGGGGGGTGCCAGAGATGGTGGAAGTCCTTGCATGTGTTTCTTCTAGTGGGAATTGTTAGCAGAAACCTGCCCACAGTTTCTCACCTGTTGGATATTATGAATGTGTGTATTTTAGAAACATTCAGAGAGTCTATCTAGGGCCATTTTGTGCTCAAAAAGAAAGCAATTTTCAGTGGGAGGGAATATGGGAGGGAGAGGTAAGACAAATCCAGCTATATCCCATCATGCTCATTGATGTAGATGGGAAATGGTGGCATGGTAGCAAAAACAAAAGGCATAAAAGGAATTTGTGACTTGGTAGGATTAGTCATGCAGGCTTCCTCAACCTTGGCCCTCCAGATGTTTTTGGCCTATACAACCCCCATGATCCCTAGCTAGCAGGACCAGTGGTTAGGGATGATGGGAATTGTAGTCTCAAAACATCTGGAGGGCTGAGGTTGAGGAAGCCTGGATTAGTGAATTCCACATGCAACAAAAAACAGGAAAGTGATGACCAAAAAATGCAAGAAGGCACTTTTCTGGAAGCACCCTAGATTTACTCAAGGTTTGCCAGCTGATTTCCAGGCAAGCTCCAAATACTAAAATCCTGCATTGTATCATTCCTTCTGAAGCAGCAACCCTTGCAATTGTCCTCACCTCCTTGCTCTCAGATGTTTCCAGTAGACCCATCCAGCAATTGCTGTGACTGTCACGAGAAATCCCATAATGATCCCAGCCACAACTGGGGCAGATAAAGCAGCAGAGGCTGCTGAGGTGTCTGCCGCTGAACACAAAGACAATGAAAGGTACAGTTTATATGAGACTCCTCCCTTTCTACACAGAGGTTTAGGCAGCCATGAGAATATCCCTTACATGGAGATCTATCACACATATGGCACTCACCAGGGATTCCTGCCACCCACCACTTCACTGTTCAGGAAGCATCAAGATTAACATATTAATATGATTGTGAAGGAGGCTGCACTCCTGTACACTTCTGAATAGACATGTGTAGGATTGTACTGTTCATCATTTTGAAAGATACACAGGAGGTGCCAAAAAGGACCTAGTGAAATTGGCTAAGAGACTAGAGGCTTAATTAATCCAGAATGCAACCAGATGAAGAGACTTGTTTCACCTGAGAATGCTGTGAATGACACTTTAGGAGCCTGTTGACTATATCTGGTGAAGGCAGCAATGCTGAACCTATAACAGAACAAAATGGAGAATTTTATTCATTTATTCATTACATTTATACCTCACCTTCCCTCCAAATAGTTCAGCAGTGTAAATGGTTCTCTTCCTGCCCCTTATTTTTCCAATGACTCCACAAGGTGCATTACGCTGAGACATAAAGGATGACTCAAGGCTGCATCAGCCTCTATTCTATTCTATTCATTTTCCTGAGTGGTAAATTTTATTCCTATAGCACTTTCAGAGCTGAGATGAAACAACTATGCAACGATTCATAAGACTTAAGAATGAGCTTAGTTTGTTCCAAGTTAAGCTTGCCTAATTTCACACCTCCATGTGCAGAAACAGTCTACCAGCCTTCTGCAACTGGATGTCCTCCAGATGTTATTGGACCACAGCTCCCATCCACCCCAGCCAGCATGGCCAATGGTCAAGAGTAAGGAGAAGGCTGCAGTATATTTTTGATTAGCAGATCCTTGTGGATCTGGTGATGGAACATTTCCGTCATGCCTGCTTGTGAGCTTCCCAAGTGAACCAAGGAACACGGCTTTGTGCTGGAACAGATAGGCCTTTAGTGTTCCGTTGAGGCACTTTCTTATGCTCTTACCTGTACTGTGAATCTTTTTTCAGCCTTCCATTGCAGGTCTTTCGAGAGCGGCTGCATTCGTCTGCACCCACAGTAACTGGCCAGGCCTTGGGACTGGTGCTGTCATTGAAACGAAATGGGTTTGGCACCAACAGAGCCAAGTAAGAGTCTTCCTGCCCATAATAGTGGTCATACCATGTGCGGGAGATGATGTCTTGGGTGGGCCTCAACACTGGAGATACAGAGAGAAAAGCATTGCAACGTTATGATCATGGGGGGCATCATGAATCCCCTCACAAGGATGGACCATGGTGGTTGCAGATACTTACAAGACTCATTAGTGGTGGCAACAACTCCATAATACTCTATGAGGCCATTTTCCTCGCTGAACATATCAGGGGAGATGATGACTCTAGACCTGGCGTCAAACTGGGGGGTGTCCATTCGCACAGGAGGCGGGAGAACTGCTTCGGAAAGCCAGAAAGGAAGAGGTATTAGGGTGTCACCAGCAGGTGTACATATAAATAAAAAGTTTAAATAGCATATTTCAAATGTTCAGTGTTTCACATCTCTTAACTGCTCCCCTATCCTGTCTGTGCAACCTCACCTAGTTGCCCTACCGCACCCAGGATCTACCAGCTGCCACTGCCTGCGACCTTCTGTATCCAAAGCCATTGCTCAACCACTAAGTTATGGCACTTTCAACCTGTGGCAACGGAGAGCCTGGAAGACACGTACCTTCCACAGATGTATTGCAGAGCAGTGTCACGGCTGGGCCCGAGATGCCATTCCTGCCCACAGCACTAACGCTGATTTGATAGGACGTATTTGAGGACAGTTCTGTCAGTGTGACGTCAGCCCTGGAAACAGCCAAAGGAAGCACAGGCTGCTGCTGGCTTCCTTGGGGAAACTTCTTTGTTGTCAGCTTATAAGACTCGATATCACCCTCAGGGATGGTCCAGTTCAGAAATATACTTGTGCTATCAGGGAGACATTGTGGGTCCTTCACTTGTGTGGGCTCTGGAGAGACACAACACAAAAACTTGAGCAGGCACAGCTTGACTGTCTCTGTGATGAGCAAACATCCAGCATAGCATGGGGTGGGCTGTAGTGGCCCTGGGTGTGTTTTTCTGGGGGGCACTGCCCTCAGCACATCAAGACACACTGATGCATTGTAGGGTGGCTAATGGTTGCAACAGATTCTCCTATACCAGCTTGGGATGTGGTCCTTGAGTTACAGAAGGGAGTAGTTCTTCTTCATCCCACAGTTGTTGCTGTGGTGATCAGGCCTAGCACAGAAGGTCAGGCCTAGTTGGGAAGGACGGAATCCTATATCCTGAACAGTTTGTCTCAGATAAGCAAGATGTTCATAAATTCTATGGGGCAGTATAATTTATAGGTTTGTTGCATGGAGACATATATATTTGGGGTTTTTGTAAGTGTTTCTTGTTCTCCTTTAACATCTCCTTCTTTTGGTCCCAACTGTTCTGGGGAATAGAAGCAAATTGCTTCTGTGTCTTCACTGGGGAGTACATAGGTGAGAGTTCCTCAGGACACTAACAACAGGAAACATACATTGCTGCTGATATTGAAAGAAGAGGAATGATTGAATATTGGGGCTTTTATAAATGAAAAATCAGTGGTGCTGTTGTTTTGTTATCATCATATTTCTCAGCCCATTCTGTATGATATTAAAACATCTGTCAAATTGTTATAGAGCTGGTGTGAGGCATGCACATGCTCTGTCTTCCCCCACTGCTATATAGGGGACGGGTGTAGAGCAAAATTTAACAAATGACCAAGAGCAACAGACTTTGAAGGCTAAAGGCAGTAGGACACTACCAGACCCATAAAACAAGTGGGGAAATTTACCTAACTGATAAGAAAAGTGAAGTTAACTCCATGAAAAGAGGAACAAAATCGTGAAGATTTCTGTAACTAAAAAGGGACAGACAAGCACAAAGCTTGATGCATGAGAGTGCCCTATGATGAAAAGAGTTCTGGATTTTCTCCTGGAGGAATGAAAGATTCACCAGAACCCATCAGGGAATGATAGAGCCAAGGGTATGTTGAAGAAAGCCTTTATACTAAAGGGAAAGCAGTGAGCAATCTCACCAATGGATAATATAAATGTGTTTGGTTGCATTGCCTCTGAGGCTGCTTCCATACCAGTCCTCTGAGACTTTATCCAGAGAAAATTAGAAGGTGGCACATGTACACAGTCTTCAAGACTTTGCCACTGCCAATGCAATAAAAAGAAAATAAAAGTCCTGCAAGTTCTTGCCACATTCTCTTGCCCTAGGACAAGTGCATACCTACCTATTGGCATCACCGCAGTCTCAGAGCTGCTCGTATATGGTCCAGCGATGCAGTTGAGGGATATGGAGTAATTTCTCCCTGGGACCAGTCTCTGGAAAACATGTTGGACCTGCCACTGGGTCAAGGCATGGTGCTGTAGCATGGTGCTGTTGCCTGGATGCCACAGCTGCAGCTGGCAGCGCTCTGGCTTGCTGAGGGGCTTTGTCCAGAACACAGATAGTGCTGGGTTTCCCTTCTCTGCCTTTATGGAGAGTTTCCGAGGAACCCAAGGATCTGTGGTGTAAAAACAATGCAAGAGAGGGTGAGTTAGACACTACAACTACAGAGCCATCTGCTTTGGGATTGGGGAGAACAAACAGGGAGAGAGTTGGTCTAGAGGAGCCACCATTGACATTCAGTAGTCAGAGCAGTGGTGCTTGTGGTATCGTCTTGGACTGGAAGAGGCTCTCTGCTGAGATTAGCACCTCTACTGAGATGTTAGGAATTGAATACAGAGCCTTGTGAATGCAAAATGGAAGGGCAATAGTGCAGTGATAGATGATTTGCTTTGAATGCAGACATTCCCAGGTTCAATGCTTGCCATTCCTAGGTAAGGCTGAGAAAGATTCTCTTGTCATACACTGGCTCTGATTCCCAACTCTCCCCATCTAGCAAAATGGGTATCAGAACACTGGCTAACTTTACAGGCCTGGTGTAACCCATGCTCCCTAAACCACAGCCCCACCCTCTGCAGGATGGATAAAATAATGAAGGATTTTATCTGCATTAGCATTAGCAGAGTTATTTTTTTAAATGTTTACAGACACAGAAAACCCATCTTTTATTGTATGGAGTAAGGCCTGAATCAGAAAAATAATGAACTCCTATTTTATTTTGAGTTAGACACATTACTCCCCAGTCAAAACTAAACTAAAATTCCTGATACCTGGATTGTTTTCTATGGGGCAGCAATCAGCATAAAAGGCTTAAATGCAAACCCAGAGGCTAGACAATGGGTGTTTTCATTTCCCCCTTCAAATGTGGGGTTTCTTTTTTTCTTGGCTGTTTTGGACTGTTTCCAAGGATGGGAAAACCCCACATTTAAAGGTGGAAAGATCCATGCTGGGATGGGGAGGTCATTATATGGACACCCCTATATTAATGGGGAGTCAACTTGGTTCAAATCCACATTTTGCTCTAGTGTGAACAAACTCGCAGAAGTGCGTTAGGATACTCACATGTCCAGTCACTGACATTCTCTGCCGCTATCTGGTAAGGCCCTGCCACAGCAGCAACTTCTAGCAAATATTTACTTCCTGGATTCAGGCCAACGAAGGTGAAATTAGTAGCATCCTTCATGACAGATGTCTTGGATGCCACAGTGCCTGATCCAGCGTAATAGAGTGTTAGTACATAGCCATCTTGGTTTCCTGCACTGTGTCCCCAGGAAGCACTCAGTTTGTCAGTCTGCCCTTTGTTTGACAGATGCACCGTGTGAGGAGGCAGAGGACCTAAGAAGAAGGCAATACCAGAAGAGAAAAGAACCCTGGATCAGCCATGAAAATGTCCCCCTCCACTTCTTCTCTGTTGGGTATTAATTGGTTTGCTGTATTAAAAGTCAGCCGATCCCTAAGTCACATCTGGGAGACTTCGTGCAGGATTATAGGAAGAAGAAAAGCAAAAAACATCCTTCCCCAGCCTAGTCCCTCCAGTGTTTTTGATTACAACTCCATCGGCCATGCTGGCTGAGGCTGAAACATCTGGAGGGAATCAGGTTGAGGAAGGTTGAAGTGAGCACCCACAGGCTCCCTTCAGAGTGGTGAAGAGAGACTCATCTAAACTAACTCCTTGAAGTGGGCCCTGGCAAACTTTGTTAACCCTTGGACTCTGATGGCCTCTTTGACTCCATTGTGTCCTGGCTCAAGGCTGCCAGTGATGAACAGACTTCTTGGGCATGCTATTGAAGTGTGCAGGCTGTGAAGGGCAAAATTAGTGCAGGAACTGATCTGATGCTGGCCTGCACCAGGAAGGTGGGGCTGTTTTAAATGAAATTGCAGATTAGAGTTGTTCAAGTGAATAAAATGGGTGGACCCAGCTAATCCCATTTCTGGTTTCCTATGTCTTCATCCTGAGGTGCAGAGGCAATGATAGGATTATTTCCTGGGCGATAAGAGCAGCCAGACAGCCTCATCATTTTGTCTCATAAATGTCACAGTGCTGCTTTCTTTCACAGCAGGCTGCAACACTCTGCTTGGAATGAATTGAAAGGTTGTTTTGCTGACTGTTTCCCTCCCACAGAGAAATTGACATTCAGATTAAAATGGCAGATGTTAGCCTGAGCTACTCACTTGTCCAGTCACTGACATTCCCTGCTGAAGTCCTATAGGGTCCTGCCTTTGAGATGATCTCAAAGAAGTATTTGGCTCCTGGTGTCAGACCTGAGAAGGTGAAATTGGTGCCATCTGTCCCCAGAGATGTTTGTGCTGCTGTGGTACCAGATCCTGAGCGATATAAGTTCAACTCGTAGCCATCCAATCTACCAGAGGCTGGTGTCCAAGCCACACTCAGCCGGTGTGGGTGCCTTTCATTCCTGATTTGCACAGAGGTAGCAGGCAGAGGAGCTGTGAAATAGTAAGAACTTGCATGAGAAAATAAAGGGCACTGACTGAAGGAATAGGCTGCTTATTGTAGCTGCAATATATGGAACTATCATAATTATCCAATGGGATCTATATGGCATAGCATGCAGACAGGACTAAACTATCAATAATAGCTCAGGCTGGAAGAGAGAATTCAAGATTGATCCAAGTCCAACTCAACCTTTCACAAGGCATTTTTTAAACCAACTTAAGGGCCAAAAAACTTGGAAGCACCTGCTTCAGTCCACCTTTCTATATAACATAGATCAGAGAGTCTTATGTCTCATCCCTGCCGCCATTTTGGATCTTCTGGAGAAATCTCTGTGCATGCAATTGGTCACATGCTGGGAAGATGTCTGCATAAAGGATAGGTGTTATATATTGTGTGTGTGATTGTGGCCTGTGTGAGTCAGTGATTGCCTGCATATCTGCCCCCATGTGAGCCACACATCTAGAGAAGAACAAGCCTTTCCACTTCCCCAAACCTCTCACATTTCCTTCCCTCTAATAAGGCAAGATGGTCCAGGCTAGTAATACCTCAACACGAGGGAAAATCCTTCTATTTTATCATGTGGAATCCAGTAAGGGAGTAGGAAAGCAGGTAATTAAACAGAGTGAATAATAGGGTCCGGGATGAGCCAAGCCGAGTGCAAATGGTCTTTCAAAATTATCCATCTTATAAGTGCACAGAAATTTTGGGGTGTAGTCCACCAAATTCCTCCAAGTAGAAATTCTCCAACACTTTCTCAGATGTGAGGCTCACAATTTGCAGAGGGAGTAGCATAGCCTCTTTTTCTTCAGAGGTTTTTGTTTCTTTTTGCTGCTGCCGCTACTGCAAATATCAATAGCAGTAACTGTGCTGGAAGCCTTGTCCGTATCCAATCCATATATATTGGTGAAGAATATCTGAATAAAAATTTGCAAAAAGTGGTCTTTTTCTGGGGAGGCAAGAGCAAGAAAAATCTCAGAAATTTTCTCAGGAAAAGAAAAGTCTTCTGAGAAATTTCAGTTCAGCTCTAGACCCAGGAGAGGAGAGATGAAATGGGCCACTGAAGAAGAGGAAAGAGGTTGTAGGCCTAGAACTGTACAAGGAAGCTGCATGTCAGATGGTAACAGGTGCATTCCTCAACCTTGGGATGGGACTTAGCCTGTCAGACTCACATGTCCACTCAACAGCAATGGTCGAAGGGGCCTCAGCTTGGCCTTTCACTGTGATGACCTGCACAGCAAACTGGCTTCCTGATGGCAAACCCGTCCAAAGGAAGTCCTGGGTGCTTGGCTGCACAACCCGAACTCTTTCCATGCCTGGAGGCACTAGGCTATACAGGACCATCCGGTAGTGGTCTCTTCCTCCTGGAGGCTCTCCCCAGGCTGTGTATAGCACCGAAGAGTTGCCAACGTTACTCAGGGTCAGGTTCACAGGAGCAGCAGGGGCTTCCAGAGAAAAAGAAGAAGAGGGTACATTCAGACACAAAGGGCCTTTGATTCCCATGGCACAGCAACACCCCACACAACTCACAGGGATACAGCTGGAGAAGTAGTCAACTTCTGCTAATCACAAGCCCAGTGCTAAAGAGAAGATCAGTCTATGCAACGGCTACATGAAAGCAGAGTATGAAGATATCTGACAGTTAGTGCAGATCTAGTGTCTGACTCGTGCTGCAGGGAAGAGATGCACCACCATCCAAACCTGCTCAAGTCTTTTGCATCGGAATTCATTCAGATGTAACTCCATAACACTGTTCACTATCATCAGCTGCATGGGCTCAATTATTTCTCACAGATCTTCCTCCATCCGAGATGTAACACCCTCTCTTCCAACTGGATTGACCACCCGACTCACCTGTGCAGGCTGTGCTGTTCCGAGACGTGGAGCTGTACGGTCCAGCCAGTGACCACACTGCAACGAGGTAGCATATGCCTGGGGTTAGCCCTTCTATGGTGAGGTTAGTGCTGGCTTTCTCGACAGCCATGTGGCTTCTGATAGCTGTGGAGTCCTCTTCAGACACGGAGACCATGTAGCTATCTCTCTGTCCAGCTGGGGCCTTCCACTGCACTGTCAACACTGAGGAGCCGTGGCTGGTCACCGTCACGGCAAGTGGCATCAAGGGCACTAGAAGGAGAACCACAAAGGGTTTCAGGAAAGAACTGTTGACAGAGAACACAGCCCTGCCTGAGGGGACAGCCATCTTGCTGATTTCTATGTTGTGTAACCCCTGGCAACTTTTCTAAAGTTTCTAAGTCCTTTGAGATATGACACACAAGCTATACAACAAATACAGGAGTGAAACAGCAACAAGTAATTTCTGAACAACCCCACAGGCAAGGCAAGAACCTGAGTCCTCAGCGAGTACCACAAAATGCCAGAGTAAAAAGTAATCATGAAATAGGAACAAGTGTCAACAAGACTCTAACGAGGCAAGAGGCTTAGCTGGAGCCAATGCCCATTTGCTCCTCCCATTGCAATTTGCCTTCGTCAGTGGCCATTCCACCAGGTCATTAAGTTATACTAAGGAAAAGCTGGGGGCTGTATCTAATACGTCAGAGCCATCGAAATCAATATTGGCTAACTTAAGTCCATTGATTTAAGCTGGCTTATTCTGAATATGACTGTTTTAGATGGATACAACACTTCGCTTCCCTCCCCTCCCCATGTTCCCTTATGCATTATGATATTTCAGATTGCAAGTCAATATTTTAGACTGTAAACCACAGTAAGCATAAAGTCTGTGTATGAATGTCAACAAATGCATTAGGCTGAGTGTTGATTGCGAACTTAACTAGATTGTTTGACCTGGGAGAAAAGACAGAAGGGGGCAACATTGTACCTGTGTAGCCAATGGCTGTTTGTGAGGAAATGTGGTGTGGTCCAGCTCTGGAGACAATCTCAACCCGGTACTGAGTCCCTGGCACCAGGCTATCGAGGGTCACCTGGGTAGTTCCATGTGGCACTGAAACATTCCGGATAATGGAGAGAGATTCACCCGCATAGAGCTGCACCCAGTACTCTCGTCCTCTTCCTGATTCCATCCAGCTCACAGTCAGCTGCTGGGGGCTCTGGCTGCTTTTCACACTGACATTAGCCAGAGACAGAGGATCTGTGGTTGCAACAAAAATGGTGTGTAGGAGGGACATCGTGGTGGGATAAGGAAGCAGGCACATAGTTGCTTTCACAGAGGCATTTTGTGTTAGCTTTAATGTGACATGTATCACTGTGGCATCTTGGGTTGCATCACACCAAAACTAGAGGCATTTGCCACCTGCTTGCTAAATTCCTAGATTTAAACATTCTGTGGTTTAACCGGCAGTGCGTTATTAACACTCAAATAATTTTGTTCCAATGTTACGTTACTCGACCCATTCCATACCCTCCAACATTTCTCCGATGGAAATAGGGATGTCCCATTCCAAAATGATAATTTTACCATTTATACCCCACACATCTTAGTTGGTTGCCCCGGCACTCTGGGCAGCTTCCAACATATATATATATAAAATTAAATGCTTTTTCAAAAAAACTTCCCTATACAGGTTTGCCTTCAGACAGCTTGGGGGTTGGATAACTCCATACTGTCCAATATTTCTTCAATGAAAATAGGGACATCCTAAGGGAAAGTGGGATATTCTGGGATCAAGTCAGAAACTGAGGCACCTTCTCTAAATCAGGGACGTCCCTGGAAAATAGGGACACTTGGAGCGTCTGCTATTCTTGGGGTTAACAAGAGGATGAGATGTTAGATTGCACAAATGGCGGAAGCTTAAGAGAGTGTCACTATTGAGGCCTCACACGGTTCAGAAATTCTTTTGCATACTCACATGTCCATGCAGAGACCACCTGTGCTGAAGCCCGGTATAGTCCTGCCAGTGCTATAACCTCTAAGAAGTATTGGCTGCCAGGAAGAAGGCCCTCAAAAGTGAAATTCCGCATGCCTGGCCCAATTGAGATGTTCCTCTGCAGAGGATGCTCCTGGCTGTAGATTCGCAAAAAGAGCTGGTCTCTGTCACCTGGAGGCAGGTCCCAAGTGGCAACAAGACTGGGGGACCATCTGCTACTGGCCAGTGTCACCCTTGAAGGAGGCAAAGGGTCTGAAAAGAATAAGATTTCTCAGTGGCTGGTCGGCACCATACAGCAATGCCAGGCCAAGACATTTTGCTTTCTGATGCAAAGGACAAGACCGCATCTCCTTCCCTAATTCTCCTACAGAATCCCATTGGACTGGCAGACTCTTATTTCAGCACTGGGAACAGGACACTGTCTTACATCACATCCACACTAGATTAGGGTGCCCAGGGGCACTGGCAAGGGGCCTAATGCCATTCCCCCTGCCCTCTTAAAAGACACAGCCTGAGATGACTCATTAGCCATTAGATCTAATTACATTCAGGGAGGAAACGGGGAGGAAAGAGAGGTGAGATACAGAAGCCAATGCAGATGTTCTCCACAAGGGCAGGTGTTCTTGGGTGTTGGGAAATGGTTGCTATTTGTTATTTATTTAACATGTGCATGAGACATAAAAACCTGGGGTGCAGTTGTGGGACCAAAATACCAGCAAGCTTTAATTTCTCCTGAAAAACTCATATCAGCATTTGTAAGGAGATTGCTACCCTCGAAGTCCAGTTTCGGACACTCTGCTCTGCCCAAGCACCCTGGCTTCAATCCACAAATGGTCCCAATTGGTTATGTTACGGGTAACTTCCCTTTGAGGCTAGATGCTTATGAATTTACCTTTTCATATACACAGGTTTATAATATTTATCCACTGGAGGAAAATGGGATGTGCAGCCTAAAGGCACTTCATACTCATGGCTGTCAGATATATGCAGATAGGAAAAGTCCATATGATTCATACAGGGAGGGTGGGGGTGCTGTGCTCCAAGAGACAGTAATACTTCTTGTATGGTCCAAACAACATTTATGTTTTGCTCAGGTGTGAGGAGGAAACCTGGGCAATGGGTGGAAGGGGATACACATGCAAATTCTCCTAATTTGGAGAAGGGGAAAACCCCTAACAAACCAAATGAAGCCTTGCTCCACTTCTTTCTTTTTTAACATTTACCAGTTATGGATAGTTTTTGATTTGGAGCTTGGATTTGTGTTTTTATTACTGTTGCTTTGGGCGGCAAAAGTATAAAATTATTTACTTCACCAGTTTGTTTCTTGCCTTAAATTCATCAAGAAGAATTAAGATTTTAAAAGAGAAGTTTGAAAATGTTTTGAAATTGAAAGGTCAAAGGTCTGAATTCAAAGGTCTGAAACGCTGGTGAAAATTTCACACACTGCAATTCTGAATCAGGCTAAACTCCTCCGTCAGCAAAGGCCAAACTAGGCCTCATAATATCCCTACCAGTCTCTTCCCTGTCTTCCTGCCTCTACTATTCCTTCAGATGGGATACATCTTCTCTCTCCTGTTCATGGGTAAATAGGGAGACTCAGTGGAAATCAACCAGGGACAGAACTTGCTGGGAGAACCCTCAACTACTTCTCCAGAAAATGGCATACTCACATGTCCAGTCACTGGCTGTTTGAATGATGGATGGATATGGTCCAGCCACTCCCATCATCTTCAGAGTATACTGACGCCCTGGGATCAGCCCGTCAAAGGTGACATTTGTCCCACCCTTCATCGCTGTTACATTTTTCACCACCAACTGGGATTTAGTTTCCAAGAGAGTCCCTGCATAATTGCCTCTGACCCCAGAGGGACTCTGCCAAGAAGCCCGTAGTGACCTGGTGCTGTGACCGCCATTACTGAGGCTCAGATGCTCCGGAGGCAAAGGATCTGAAAGGAGGAGATCAGACCAATTTCAGGCATTTTTGAGGTTTGTCTCCAGCTTCTTCACCCCTTTGCCTTTGGAAGCCTTAACGCTGCCCAAATAATGACACCAAAGGTGCAGTGGTCCTTTGGGGAAGCGGAGGCTTTGCGATTTGATCAGATGGACTTTATTATTTGCTAGTTTGTTGAGGACATAGCAGCAGTGGCTAGGACTAAGGTGAAACTGCTCAGACTCCCTCATTACTTTTGCTTCCACCAGGAGGTGCCTACATTCACAGTACTGAAATGTTGTTTTCTTGTGATGTTGTTACATGCTGCTGTATCATTATTGTGAAATAGTTCTTGTTGATTTTGTAGTGCATTGCTGTCAGCTGCTTTGAGCATAAGTGGAAAGGCAGCACACAAATGAAATGGTGGTGACGATAAAGGCAAAAGTGTGAAATGTCAGTCCAGTGCCACCGGTTCTGAAAGAGATTGCGAGCCTTTCAGCTCTAAAATCACCTCCTCACTAAGCTCCAGGGCTTTGGGGGTGACTGAACTTTGACAGGCCCCACCTGTCTCTCTTGCACCCACCCAGACCCCTTTCCCACTTCAGTGGCAGCTCCTTTTCCCCTTCAATTACCCAAGGAAACTCTCAAGGTCTGGACCTGGTAGCCATGTACATGACAGCCTATTGGACTTCCCATGGCACTTACGTGTCCAGTTGCTAAGGACGAGGGGCGGGGAGATGTAGGGCCCAGCAATGGTGCAAATCTCCCAGGAATAGCGTGTGCCTGGTATTAACCCTTCGTAGCGCAGACTGTTATGACCCTTAGGCACGGATTTGTTTTGCACCAGCATGTGGGGTTCCGTGGTGTACAATGCTGCCACGTAGCCAGTCCCAGGCGCCTCTTGCCAGTGAGCACGGAGCATGTGGGCACTGCCTTGGCTCAACAAGCTCCCACCTGGCGGAGCTGCAGGATCTGGAAGGGGGAAAGACAGACACAAAATTATGCACAGGGCCTTCTATGAAAGGTCTGGGTTGATACAAATTGGGGAGCACCTATTTGGGAGTGTAGAATAAAAGGGTGACCAAAAAAATAACCCTTTCTCAGAAGACTCATTGTGATGTTTCTCCCATCCCAGCTTCCAGAGTAGAAGATGGACATAATTATCAGAAAGGTCTCCTCTTCAAGTCAGCTCAGAATATTTGTTTTGTCCAATGCCTAATAACTGAAGCCCCAGCCAAGACACAGAATTGTTCTCTGGGAGTCTCTCTTCACTGACCCTGACAGATGGTTGGGAATACTAAACAAACAAAAATCTTGCATTTCTTTCCTGTCTTTCATGGAAACCAAGGCAGTGCACATGTGGTTTCCAGGAAGTCACCCATCCAGACCCAAACCTGCTTAGCTTCAGCAAGCTGGTGCCCTCATTTGCCTTTGAACCATACTCTATGACCCTGTGATGAAGGAACCTCTTTCCATGGTCTCTTAGGTTGAGATTGATGAAGCATCAGTGTTGGCGCTGAAGACAGTGAGGGCTGGAGTCAACTAACAGGTCCCCACTAGCGCAATGGGTTTTTCCCCACCCTCTCCTCCCTCTGTGCCCTCATCTCCAATTGGCTGAAGGGTTGGAGGTTGGGAGAAGCCCCAGAATAGTGTGGGGGAAGAGAGGAGTGGGGAGATTCCATCCAGAAAGTAGAAATGCTTGCACCGACAGAGTGATCTCCTTAAAGCTATCCTGAATTATTCCCTGTGTGTCCTCACCTTACCAGAATTCCCTTCAGTCAGGTAACTGAAATACCCTCACACCCAAAACCAGTAGCAAAGCATTTCTATAGGAGCCACTGCCTCCCAGCAGGATCTGAGCTTCAAGCCCTGCTTACATGTCCAGGCAGAGATGCTCTTTGTAGATGCTTTATGGGGTCCAGCAACAGCGGTCACCAAGGCAATGTAGCTTTTCCCAGGGCTCAGACTTTGGAAGGTGACCTGTGTGTTGTTCCTTGCCACCGATACATTTCTGACAGGTGTCCTGCTCTCCCCTTCCTGCAGAATCACCAGATAGAATTCTCTTCCTCCAGCTGGTGAGTTCCATGTCACTTTCAAAGTGTTATTTTTGCCACTGTTGACCAAGCTCACATTGGTTGGCTTCAGGGGGTCTGGGGGGGGGAAAATGAAAGGAAGGATCAGCGTTCACCATTAATGAATTGCCAAGAAACAGGGCTGATGTGAGTTGTAGTTTGGAGGGCACCAGGTTGGAAAAGTGTGATGTGGTCTGTAAACCTGTGGACATAGCTTATGACTTCCTTAATTCAGAGCCAACATATCATTTTAGGTGCTTTAGGAATAATTAGTAAATAGATTGTATTAATACCGACTGGAAAAAGTCTGGTTGACTTTTGGAAATTCTCAACTTTATTGGCACTGCTTTGGTAATGTAAAACACAATCTCTCTGGTTCATGTATTCAGAGAGTAAATTTTGGAACCTCTATTACAGTAGGGAAACACAAGCACCAAATAATACAACTAGAACAATAAGACTGTCTTTATTTCACAGCCAGAACATACACATGTTCATGTGTGTTAGTTATCCCTATTAAACAGACGCAGAGCAAGCTTCTAGGTCTCTCAGGATAAGGACTACCTGTTATTGTAACCCTGCCTTATTCTGTTTCATAGGCTCAAAGTAGCCTCTCATTCCAGTTTAGGCCTGCCTACCTGACTTCCAAGTGCCTTGAACAGTATCCTGCTGCATACTCACATGTATAAGCTGTGACATTGGGCCCCTCTATCAGGTAAAGCCCAGCTGCGGCGCTGATCCCCAGGCGATAGGGGGTGCCCGGCTGCAGGTGCTGGAAGACGTAACTGGACAGGCCTCTCCTGAGTGACACTGTGCTGCTCTCAGCTGTGGTGTGGAGGTTCTGCAGAGTGAGATGGAGCCATTCTGCTCCCTCTGTTTTGGCCCATGAGGCTGTCAAACTGGAGCTGGAGTTGCTATGGAATGCCAATGCCTTGGGGGCGACAGGAGCTGTTGGGACAAAGGAAAGCTGAAGGGAGCCATCTCTCACTACAGGAAACCACCTGCTCCAAGAAGAGGGGTCCCTTTTCAAAGATGCCCCACTCCATGGAAGTCCCCAGTTCTCGGAAGAGGACACTCCAGCACCCTTGCAAACAAATCAGTCAGTGAAAGCAGCTAAGCCACTGTCATTTTTTACTTGCTTGCCTTGCTCACACATACATGTGCCAATTTTTAATGGCACGCTGGTAGCCTAAAGCAGAGGTGGCCCTGCAGATGTTGCTGGACTCTAGCTCACATCAGCCCCAGTCACCATGGCCAACAGTCAGTGATGGTGTGAGTTGTAGTCCAGCAAGAACCACAACTTCTCTGCCTTTGGCCTAATGGAAGAGAAAATGACCAGTTTTAAGAAGGGATATAAGAGCCGCACCAGAGCTGACTAAAGACCCTTCTGGCCCAGCATCCTGTTCTCACTGTGGCCATGTGAAGCCTGCAACCAGAACCTGAGCACCAACAGAAGTGTCTCCATTTGTGATTCCAATGACTGGTTGTCATCTTTTCCTGCCTGGCTGCTTGAAGGCGAGTCTTACTCCATAGACAACTAAGTTGTCTAAATTGCCTATCTAAATTGTAAGTCGCCTTGGGGACTGCACTGGGCTGAAAGGCAAGTCATAAATCACTTTATAATAAATAGATAAAATTCCAGGCCTCATAAGCTCCACGGATGTCATAAACTAATCTCAGGCATGGCTAATTAGCCCCTGCCTACTTTCTTTCCCCCCTCACTACTCCTTGAGCATGCGGGAACAATGAGATAACATAGCCCCGCCCAGGCATCTGATTAATTTCTGGAGACGCTTCTGTCTCTACAGAGTTGATTTTATCCTCCAACAACGCCCTCAGGCCAGAGTAGCAACTTTCCATACCGGTCCATTGACGTGCACTGGTGCTTGCTTTGGAATATCCAGCCAGGGTGGTGATTCGCAGGGCATATTCACTGCCAGCTCGAAGCCTCTCAAAGCGGAAGGTGGTGGCCCCTTTAGGGAGAGTCACATTCCTGACAGGTGCCTGTGAGTCTATGTGGTACAGAACCAGCTGGTAGCCATCTTTCCCGCCAGGGGCTTCACTCCAAGAGGCTACTAACACAGAAGGGCCATCATAGCTGAGGATCACGTCCCGCACAGCTAAGGGAGCTAAAACAAGATGAAGGTTCCAAAACAGAGTTGCCAGTGAGTAAGCATTTCAGAATATTTACCAGATCCCCAAACCTGCTCCTATCTCTCTCAAATCCTGACCAGATTTCTAAAGTATTTTATGTGAGTTCTGTTCTAGCCTATCTGAAGTACAGTGGTACCTCGGGTTACAGATGCTTCAGGTTACAGACTCTGCTAACCCATAAATAGTACCTCAGGTTAAGAACTTTACTTCAGGATCAGAACAGAAATCGCGTGGCGGCGGCACAGCAACAGTGGGAGGCCCCATTAGCTCAAGTGGTACCTCAGGTTAAGAACAGTTTCAGGTTAAGAACAGACCTCCAGAACGAATTAAGTTCTTAGTTGTACTATAGCAAAACTTGGAGGGCTACGGGTTCCCCACCGCTGAACTGAAAGATGAACACTTCACAGTGAAAGTCGAATAATGTTTACTCAGAAATAAAACCCACTGTGATTGGGAAAGTGCACCTATGATTGCATGCTTAAAGCTTCACAGTCCTCAGCTCAGCCTTATGTAAACTCAGCCTGCATGCAGACACAGGAAACAGGAAACAGGGTGTCTATAGGTAAAGAAGTGCTGGGCTGTTGCCAGGGCCAGAATTAAGTATCTTGGTGCCTAGGGCAAAGAACATGAAATACATCTTTAAGTCAACCCCCCTATTTTATAACGTAAAACATTAACACCAGTTATAATAAAACGATAAACAGCAAGACTTGGATAGACACAGTTGGTGAATATTCATGGATTATTTTAGGAGGTCTGATGACTCTGGAACTGGGAGAACTGACAGTGCCTGGTGCTCCAAAGTTTTGCCTTTCAGATTAAGGCTGTGTACACACTCTACCTCTGAAATGCACAGTTGCCATTTTATTATAGCATGCTTTTTTACATAGGACTTTACCATTGTACAAAGGACGTGGGTGGCGCTGTGGGTTAAACCACAGAGCCTAGGACTTGCTGATCAGAAGGTCGGCGGTTTGAATCCCCACGCCAGGGTGAGCTCCCGTTGCTCAGTCCCAGCTCCTGCCATCCTAGCAGTTCGAAAGCACATCAAAGTGCAAGTAGATAAATAGGTACTGCTCTGGCGGGAAGGTAAACGGCGTTTCCATGCACTGCTCTGGTTCGCCAGAAGCAGCTTAGTCATGCTGGCCACATGACCCGGAAGCTGTACCCCGGCTCCCTCGGCCAATAAAGCGAGATGAGGGCCGCAACCCCAGAGTCGGTCATGACTGGACCTAAAGGTCAGGGGTCCCTTTACCTTTTTTGCCTTTGTACACAGCTTTATGCAATGGCACAATCTAAAGTAGCAGCTGCTAGCCAGGTTGTCTGTAAACACAGGTGGGCATGTTTTAAAATTAGTGTGCAACAGTGTTATCTATTCTCCTGAATTACTGTGTCCACAGACTTTTTTTTTTTAAGGTGTTTTCTACAGTCTTTGGAAACTGGTGTGCTGATATACTGGTGTGTATCACCATACAGAGACAACGAAGGTATGGTATTGCTTCCTGTTTTGACTATTTCATTCATAGACAAGTTAAATACGGGGAGGGGGAGTGGCACAGTCCTGCAAGGCCGGAAGGTCTGTCCCAATAGGAGGTGACCTGAGAAAGCCTGCTCTGTGTACACACGCCGGCAGCGTGCACTTGAGAAGTGCATTCTCAGCACAAAATGGATTATAAGCACTCCAGCAGATGAAGCATTAGTGCGGGGGCAGGGATGACATGGGGATGATGTCATGTGTACAGCACCCGAGAAAGGTTCCTGCATCCAGCTCCGAATGCACATTATCACACAGTATGTACACACCCTAAATATTTGCAGGATTTAAATCATTACTACAACCAGCAATCTCACCTAACACATTATTTTTCTTAAAGTAAATTTCATTTTAGTAAATAATGCATATAGCATGTTTTACCTTTATTGGAGGTTTTGAAACAGAGGTTGGAAGGCCATACTTAGCTGGGGTTCCTGCATTGCAGGGGATTGTGGACTAGAGGATCCTTGGGATCTCTTCCAACTATACGGTTCTATGAATTATGATTTTGGTGGGGACTTGGATCAGGTGCAATCCTGCCCTAGCTCCGATCCTGGTTGTTGCTATACTTCAGAGGCACTTTCACAAGCACAAACTGCAGTGAGGTTCTGCTACAGCTTGAATGATGATAAAAAGCACTTAAATGGTAACGTACACCACCTCAAATGTGTGGCTGTGGTAAAAACAGTTTTTGTGAAAACACTGCATTCAGCAAATTTCAGCTGGTGACTGATACACGAACTTCTGCGATCAAAGGGATTTTTCATAAGCCTGGAAAACACTTCTCTGTAACAGAATTGTCTGGGCACAGTTTGTCTGTAATAGAACGACCCATATCAGTTGCTCCAACAGAAAACCTTGGGCTGTTTCTGCAATTAGTGGCTCCCACTGTTCCAAAGTCCACAAGGACATTGTGAGACGGTTGTGGTACCATTACATTAGGAACAGGCAGCCATGGAATCACTCTGAGCTAACTTTGCTGCCAGCTGCCTGCAGAGCCTGACAGTTGCTCTCAGTTTCTGTGCAAGTCACAGGGAAAGGTTGCAAATCAGTTTGCCTTAGTTGATTTCAATATCATTGTACATGTAAATTGCAAACCAGGGAGGAAGATAAAAAACCCTCCTGCAGCTGTACAAAAGAATAAGATGCAGAGTGCTTTGGAGGATAAGCTGTGATCCATCTTAAGAAAACTAACTTGGTAGCAAGTTTCATTCTAACTAATGAGACTTTGCTTCCAAGCAGGAAATATTTAGGATTGCAGCGTTAATAAAAGCAATGTTGCATGCACAAAACAACATGTTGCTTTTAGCTATACGATTCAGATGTTTCTGGAATGAAATGGCAAATGCTGAGAAGGGATAATGGAACAAAGTATTCCCCCTCCCCAGCAAAGCATCTGGAAGTTGTGAACAAGAGGGTATAATGTTGCATAAACGATGGGCCAGACACACATTTTATTGGCCCAACTTGGATGTGCAAGCAGAAAAAATAGCCAGATGTTGCTGCATTTGTGCTAAATACTGGATGTAGAACCGCAAGTACTGGTACATCATGTTATATTTAGCCTGACACAGCTAAAGCAATTCAGCCTGGAAGAGCTAGCAGAAGCTCTTCTTCCATCCAAAATCAAGTTAAGACCCCTGTAGATGTCTTAGAAAAAAACAAGTATACTGTAAACTGATCTTGCACTTTTCTAACATTTGATGGTACAGTGGTACCTCAGGTTAAGTACTTAATTCGTTCTGGAGGTCCGTTCTTAACCTGAAACTGCTCTTAACCTGAAGCACCACTTTAGCTAATGGGGCCTCCTCCTGCTGCCGCGCCGCCGGAGCACGATTTCTGTTCTCATCCTGAAGCAAAGTTCTTAACCCAAGGTACTATTTCTGGGTTAACGGAGTCTGTAACCTGAAGCGTATGTAACCTGAAGCATATGTAACCTGAAGCGTATGTAACCCGAGGTACCACTGTATTTGCATGAACATCAGTGTGAAAGCCGTGATTGGCATAGCCTCCTAGAAGCATCTTCTGCCATGTATCTTCAGACTCTAAGGAGGATACGAATGGCAGAGGGTATTAAATGAAAGCAAAAGTCCTAGATTGCTCCATTGTCCTTTCCTTTCTTTATGGGTATCTGGCAGCTTTGACAAGGAAATGGCAGCTTTGATTTTTGAGGGCAAGGCTCAATGAACTATCTGCACTAGTGCAAGGCATAGTACTAGCCGAGTGGGACTTTCCTCCATGGCATAGCAGCTCACAAGCCAGGGTGGTTCTTGCCTCCATCCTGACCCACTGAGTTGTTCTTTTACTTGTTCAGTAAGCTAGAAAACATCTGAAGGCAGCCCTATTCAGGGAAGGTTTTAATGTCTGAAATGTTTTTTTTTTTACATTTTGCTGGAAGCCGCCCAGTGACTGGGGAAACCCAGACAGATGGGTGGAGTATAAACAATAAAATTATGATTATTATGATTATTATTATAGAAGTGAGCACTTTCAACTTTTGAAGAAAGCACACAGCCAGGCATGTCAAGGGGAGGCCACCATTACACAATGTGGCAGGCTGAGTCTTGAGTGTGTGAATGAAAGCGAGAAAAGGCGATGTCCATGTTTCTAAATATAAACCAACTCTACGCTCAGAATAGCCTCACGCGGCAAAGTAGATGCATTTGTCTCCCACTTACCTGTCTGCCCAGTGACTCTCCTGCTGTAGTTTCGTGCACAGACCAGCAGCACGGTGACTTCAATGCTGTATCGTGTCCCAGGAAGCAAGCCCTGGAAGTCAAAACTGGTGGCATCGAGCCCAGCTGATCCATTCTGCAGCAAAGAGTCTGTCTTGAAGTCATAAAGGGCTAGTGAAAAGCCCCGGACACCTCCAGAGGGCCTTCCCCAGGTCAAGAGGAGGTAGTCAGAGCGGCCTTGGCTGCTGATGCTCACATTCAGGAAGTGTCCTGGGGAAGATAGAACATAAGGTGCTCAAAACTGTATTGTCCTTCAGGGTCTGCTGTCTTCAGCCCCCAAACCCAAAGGCCTGTTCTCTATCTGACATAGATCAATAACACCTTCATCACCTAGGTGAGTAGGCAAATGATCCTATCCTGATGTTGTGGGCTCCATATTATTTATTATTTATTTTTTAAAAATAATTGTATAACACACACATACACATAATCAAAGCTGTCACAAACACACACAGAGACACTAAAAAGTAGATAAGAATTTAAAAGAGATCACGAGCTAACTATGTTTCTTTGTTGACTCTATGAGTGTGGCGGCACATAAAAGTTTTCAGCAAACATCTGTTGAATCTCTATTGGAAGAGCATTCCACATGACTGAGCCAGTGACATTAAAGGCTCAGTTTCACGTTGATGTCAAATGAGCCACACAGACTCAGGGGAGTTCCCTTCATCCCTGATCATGGGCCATGTTGGCTGGTGCTGGTGAGAGTTGCAGTCCAAAGCAACTGGAAAGCACCACATTGGCTACCCCTGATGTGGGCCAAAAAGTCGGAGGCCCTTGAGATATCAGCAAAGCCTCCTCACTCTCATGCTGAGCCTGAGTGGGAGTGGTTGGTTTATAAAAAGGAACACTAGTATGACAGGCAAATCCACTGCATTAGAATAGTCATGTTTTAATTCTTTAGCATCTACAATTGCTAAACAACAGACTGGAAAATCATAAGTTGGTCTGCTAAGACCATCAGCAATTTTGAAGTGGTCAAAGTGTGTGTGTGGGGGGGGGGGGGACAGTGTTGGCAACCCCAGCACTACATGATTCATTGTCTGCAGTCAAGCCCCACAATTCAACCACGTTTGTTCCAGCTCCTTAGAAAGGAACTCAATATTTACATCAGGCATTCCTGAAACTGATGACACCCTCACCATGAAATGCAAATAAGAGACTGAAAAAGCCAGTCTGACTCCCAGGCATATCCTTCTACGAGTCAGATCCAGAAGAGAAAATAACTTGTTGTCACCTATGGCTCCCAGGTAAAGGTGCCCCAATGCATCATGAATAATCTACAGCCTATCCTGGACAATTCCACAGGCCTTGGGTGGCAGCCCTGTCCACACGTGCAGAGAGCCCCTCAATTGAAACTGCCTAGTCACTAGCAACAATTAACCATCAAATGGAGACAGAAACCTAAGGACCAGATTCTGCAACAAACCCAGATGCCAACTCTACCTCCATTTTCATACAAGCAACAGTCTTACAGACACCATCCATAAAGCCAACCATATCATCAGGTGTTCATTCACCTGCTCATCTTCCAATGCATTACATGTAATTTTTGTAATGCCCTGTCAACAATGCCCTTCTGGTGTCTACTTAGGGCAGGCATCCCCAAACTCGGCCCTCCAACTGTTTTGGGACTACAATTTCCATCCTCCCTGACCACTGGTCCTGTTAGATAGGGATGATGGGAGTTGTAGTCCCAAAACAGCTGGAAGGCTGAGTTTGGGGATGCTTGACCTAGGACAAACATGTCAGTCTCTACAGAAAAGAATAAAGCAACACAAAAATGGCAATATTCATAAACCATTGGCAGTCTTTAGAAAACACCTTGTTCCTAACCTAAAAGCCATCATTTTTCTGTGAAGGCACTTCATCCCAGCGTGAAATGGCATCAACATAGATAATAGTTTCCTCTCCTACTGCAGGCAGGTAATTTAAAAATTAGCATAGTGAAGCTAGGAATGTTGTGTTATTGCACATTGCTGTTGTGATTGGCCACTATGTTTATTTTGTTGACATCTAAGCTTTGCGCAGAATCACCATAGGTTGTAGCCCTGTTCAGGCAATGGGGCATGTTTTGTGTGCAATGGTGGGACGTGGTGGGTTTCATCCAATCATACAAGTACTGAAATCTTTGTCTGCAATGTGTATGCACACGTACATGTGTAAACAGAGCCTGCCACTCCTGCATTTCATGCTATTTGGCTTCATTGTTTACTATCTTTCCCCTCTATGCCCATGTATATCCACTAACTGTGCATAACTCTTCATGCATCAGAAGATGTGAACTCTAGTCGATGACAGCTTATGTCACAATGAATCTGTTGGCCTTTCAGGTTCCACAATACTTTGGTATGCTTTTCCCCCCTGGTGGAGATAATTATGAGTTTTGGATGCAAGATCTGCAGACACCTTGGGTGGTTTCATTAGGTGAATTAGCAGTTTAAGGCAGACCTTGCCCTGTTCCTTTCTAATTCTAACCCACTGTGGAGAAGTATCTACATAATGAAGTCTTAATGTGTTCCTAGGATTGCAGTGTAATTCTCTCAGGAGACAAAGGCCTTATTTATTGCTTTGCTGATGTATTAGAAGTATGTCTAATGCCCTGTTTACCTGCTTGCTGGCAAAGTGTGTGTGCAACCTGTGCTACTTTTGCATGTTGTAATTGTTAATATATTCTTGGTGGCTTGTGTTGAACTCACCTATGTGGAAATTCTGCATGCTGCAATTAATTGTTGAGCAAACATGTATCCAGGTTAATTAATATTGATAAAAACTTCAAGGTTTTATAACTATATAACCTTTAGAAGACATCTGGAGGCAGCCCTGTATAGGGAAGCTTTTTAATGTGTAATGTTTTATTATGCTTTTATTTACATTGGAAACCACCCAGAGTGGCTGGGGCAACCCAGTCAAATGGGCAGGGTATAATGATGATAATGATGATGATGATGATGGAAATGCTAGATCTGTGCAGTCCCTGAGTTAAGAGAATTTGGCTTGACTTGGTTTCTGGGAGGAAAGCAATAATAACTTTTGCCAATTCATTTTGGGCCTTTCCTTCACAATATTCTCCATCCCTGCAAGTATTAGGTAGCTTACAGAATTCAACATCTATTTTTATGCTAAGGCAGAACACTTGTAGAATGCTGCTGTCACTTTTCATGATCTTGAATGTACATCTTGCTTGCCTAAATAGATCTGACATTTAACAGTTCTTTGTTTCGCCAAGGCGGTTCAGAAGCTTTTGTCTACTACTGTGTGACTCTAGCTACTTGAAAACACACTGAAATTCATACACAGAAAAGGTGAACAATAGTTTGGAGAATCGCCTGAATAAGGGAGTCCTAGTACAATTCGGCACTGGCTCCAGGTTTCTTTTTACCCAGAACAGTCTGTAGAAACATGGTGCCCGGAGAAGAATATTTCCCTAGGTGTGTGCATTGCTGCATGGAACGTGGTAGTGCAAATGTCACAAACACTTATAGGACATATGATACAGAGCTTGTGTTGTGTTGTGGACAGAGTGTAAGAATAGGACTGAGGAAACCTAGACTCAGTCATGAAGCTTAGAAGGTGATGTTGGCATAGTCACTGTCCTTTAAGCCTTAGGTATAATCCTGGGTGAGGATAAAACTGGATATTGAATATTGCTCTGAACTCCTCAGAAGGAAGGAAGGAAAGGAAGGAAGGAAAATTAGAGACTAGCAACACAATCTCCACCCTCCTTCCTTCACTGACTACTATTTTAATTAAACACACTCACACTCACACACATATTAGTAGTAGTACCCACCCATCTGACTGGGTTGCCCCAGCCTCCTATAAAGGGTTTGCGGTTCCCAACGTGCACAATGAGCCAATTCTTTTAAAAGTTGTGGACTGTAAGAATGCTACCACCACCCCGACACACACAAATGCCACAAATAGTTTTCAGTGACTCTTTAGATTAAGGAGTGTTTTTCAAGCTGTGTCCATTCCCATGAAGCTTGGCTCCATAAAAGCCAGTTGGAAGTTGAAGGCTGAGCTGCACTGGGGAGAAAAAGTATCTCTCCCTCTTCTTCAGGGAAAAGAAGGTGAGAACATTGAGGGGACACCTTCCCATTACATTCTCACTCCCTTAGGTCTCCATCACTCCCTCACTTTGTCCCTTGGAGTGATCTCTAGGGAAATATATCTGGCTCCAATAACAGTGGATATTCCTGTGATATTCCAGATTTCCCTGTCTGGGAACTCCCAGGGGAGAGGAGCAGAAAACTCACCTTTCTCGTCAGGCAGTCCTTCCACTCCTGGATTCCTTTGCCAATCTGTTTGGTTGCATCTGTCATCCTATGAGATTGAAATTAATAAAATCCTTAGTGGTGTCTGGATAGAAGCAAGGCTCAGAAAAAGACTGCATCTCTATTCTGCTATAAAAACAAAGAGACACAACACCTCTAGTGTTATGACACCCCAGTGGTGTGGAATCTGTGACCCTCCAGATGTTGCTGAACTCCAACTCCCATCGCCCCCAGTGAGCATGGCCAATGGTCACAGATGATAGGGCCACAGGTTTCCCCACCCCTGAGATACCCAACCTTTATGCCTGGTCCCTCACACCTGCAATATGTGGAGGGGACACCTCTCTGATTAGAATCACTAAGTCCAGTCATCCCTATCCTGGTGCCCTCCAGATGTATTGGACTCCAGCTCCTATCAGCCCCATCCAGAATAGTTAATGACCAGGGATGGGTGCATGAAACTGTTTTAAAACAGAAGTGCATCCTCTCTAGACATTGCTACCACAACCTCAAAGGGGAAGAGAGTTTGCATCCAAATGGAGGGGCACAGCATGGAATGCCTGAGTGGTGGAAGGCTACATCTTCTTTTCTCAGTCAATGGCTCAGCATTGACAGCTGCCAAGTGCTGTCCAACTACAGATCCTACCTAGACTGGCTCTCAGAAACTGTAAGGTCTGGCTGCCAGCCTCCCTTCCCAGCTTGGTACGCCTCTCTGGAAGCCAGACTTGTTGCTGTGTATAGCCAAGCCCTGCCTCTTGCATTGTTTCTCTTTGTGGCATTATCCAGGTTGCTTCCTTCGTAACAAGGGTCAAGTCATTATGCTGCAGCTATAGTGGACTCCCTGGTTCTCCCCATTTTGGTATGTGGCCAGTAAAGGTCGGTGCCTGAAGTAAACAATTAGGGCCAAACTAGGCATTACATGGGACACAGGTGGCGCTGTGGGTTCGAAGGTCGGCAGCTCGAATCCCCACGACGGGGTGAGCTCCCCTTGCTCGGTCCCTGCTCCTGCCATCCTAGCAGTTCGAAAGCATGTCAAAGTGCAAGTAGATAAATAGGTACCGCTCTGGCGGAAAGGTAAACGGTGTTTCCGTGCGCTGCTCTGGTTCGCCAGAAATGGCTTAGTCATGCTGGCCACATGACCTCCCGGAAGCTGTACGCTGGCTCCCTCGGCCAATAAAGTGAGATGAGCGCCGAAACCCCAGAGTCGGCCACGACTGGACCTAATGGTCAGGGGTCCCTTTACCTTTACCTAGGCATTACATGCAGTCAATGTTCCCTCACAGGTGTTTGTGTGTGTGTGTAAAACAACATCGTAAGTCTGCATATGTAAACATAAATAGAGGAACAGTGATAGGAAGGTGGTATGTATTTTCCCATTTTTACCGAAAGCTAAGATACCGGTGGAAGAACAGTTGGTGTGTGTGTGTGAGTGAGATTATACAGTGGTGCCCCACAAGACGAATGCCTCGCAAGACGGAAAACCCGCTAGACGAAAGGGTTTTCCGTTTTTGAGTTGCTTCGCAAGACGATTTTCCCTATGGGCTTGCTTCGCAAGATGAAAACGTCTTGCGAGTCTTGCAATTTTTTTCCGCTCCCCCCCCCTTTTCTAAGCCGCTAAGCCGCTAATAGCCTTTTAGCCGCTAAGCCGCTAAGCCTTTAATAGCCGCTAAGCCGCTAAACCGCTAATAGCGCTAAGCCGCTAATAGGGTTGCTTCGCAAGACGAAAAAACCGCTAGATGAAGAGACTCGCGGAACGGATTATTTTCATCTTGCGAGGCACCACTGTAAATGAAAGAAATGGGGAGGGAGGGTCAAGCACATGGACACCACACTTTCCCTCCACTTAAATTTATAACCTCCTAAGGCTTTTAATTTTATTTTTAATGATGGGGAAAGTTACCCAACTGCATAAAATGTCTAGATTTCACCTCCACTCTAGTTGCAGCCCTATGGCAATAGTTAGGTTGGAGGAACGTGAAGTTGGAAAACCAGGAAGAAATGATCTATGGGAGTTCCTCCTCTTTGCATCAGGTTCAGTTTAAGCTCCAATGTCCTAATTTGGCTCCTACTTTTACAATGAGATTTGGACAAGAACAAAAACCCCTAAGATTTGCTTAACAGGGTCTGACCAAAGATTCCCCTTATCCTGCATTCTGTCTCCAAAGAAAAGGTGCCAGCAGGTCTGCTTTCCACAACAGGCTGATGTGTAGAAATCAGTGGGTACAATGTTTTTTTTGTTTGTTTGTTTGTTTTTTTTGCAGGATGGAAATAAACATTATCCGGGGCCAGATTCAACTAACTGGTCCTGCTAGCAGAAGCCCATACAAGGACTTCCACTAGGACAATGAGGCTTCCTTCCAACTCAACAAATTAGTGGAAGTGGGGGTCAGCAGTACCCCCAGAACACCATGTATGGGGAGATAATTTCATTGGGCTAGCAGAAATGCATTCTGATGGAATGTTTGTAGCAATGTGGAGCTGAATTCCTCCCAATGTCTGTGCATCAAGTTGCTGTTAAAGGCAGAGCTACATGGACTGGAAAGGACTGAAGCTGGCAACTCTCCCAGCTGGATGACCTTGGATTGCTCACAAGCAAGGCATGCTGGAATAGCTTTCTCCTGTTGTATTCCCCCCACATCCATTAATCCTGAACAGTGAAGTTCTATTCATGAAACGTGGAAGGAAGTTCTGTCCTTCAAGATTATTACTAGTTGTCATTGAACAACCTGACTTTTGAAATTCATTTTTAAAGGTATTTATGCTAGCGTGGCCATTATTACAGCTTGTAGCAATGATTTCCACATATGAATTGTCTGTGATGATGAATACTGTTTTGTTTGTTCTGAATATGCTGCTGAATATCATGGTTAAAACCAAGATCTAGTGCAGGAGTTACCAGCAAGGCACCCTATAGACATTGTTGGACTCCAGCTCCCATTATCACCAGTCGGTATAGACAAGGGTCAAGGATTATGGGAGTCCAGCATCTCTGGACTCCCAGAAAACTACCCAAACGAAAAAGAGGATTTTCAAAGGTTTGCAAGTATGTAAATCTTATGGTTGGAATAGCATCTCATGCAATGCATCTGGGGAATTCTCGCAAGTGGCAGGGCAATGCAACACCAATCCCTGTCCTCGGCCTCACCCTGCCTCCAGGATGGTTCTCATGATATGAAGAAGTGATCAGAATCACCAGGGAAATCACCTGCCTGGCTGATCAACCTTCTCTAGAGCAGAGCTGAAATTTCTTAGAAGATAAAAAATGTGAATTTTCATTCTTCCTCTTACCTCATTCTTCCCCCTCCTCCCAAAAGAGAAAGCCATTTTGCAGAATTTTCTACTAATATTATCCACCTTTTTTGTGGTGCCATCATTCTCCTCCATCTCGTGCATGATCCAGAATGATGCTAGGACCCTTTGGCAAGAAAGGGGGTGGGGACTTGGGGATGGAGAAGTTGTGCTTCTGCCACACCTAATGATGACATAATAATGAGGATAATTTCTCCTCTCTCTGGAGAAATGCTCTGAAACACAAGGTTTTTTTCTGTACACAAATAGAGTGGAGAATTTTGGGAGGCCAAAATCCTGAACCGGCACACGGAGTCAATGAACAAATCAGACCAAAAGCCTATCTAGTCCAGCATCCTGTTCTTACAGTGGCCTATGGGAAGGACATGAGCTCAATGGCCCCCTCAAACAACCACAGCAATACTGTCTCTGATTCAGGCAGTAGTACATAAGGCCATTGTGGCTAGTAGCTGTTGATAGCCTCCTGTGAATTTGTCGAATTCCCGTTTAAAGCCACCCAACTTGGATTTAAAGCCACCCAACATCTTGCGGTGCTTCCTTTTGCCTGTCCTAAACGTCCCAATATTCAGCTTCATTGGACAACCCTGGGTTTGGTATTATGAGAGAGTGCTAATATTCTCTCTGTCCACACCAGGTATAATTTCCATCTCTTACATCCCTCCTTGTTTGCTCCCTTCTCCTGAACAAAAAAAGGCCCTAGGAGTTGTGACCTTTCCTTGTACGAGAACTGATCTGGTCCCGACGAAAGAAGAACGGCAGACAAAATTAATGGACTACGCAGAATTGGATAAAAGGAAGGATTCAAAACCTGCGGGACCAAAGATTTACAGAGGATTGGAAGAAATATACGAACTATTTGAAGAGCAATTGTAATCAACAAATTATGCTGCAGGTCTACAAGAAGTTTTGTAAGGGGAAATATATGAAATATTGCAAAGAAGAGAGATATTAGTTATGAGATTTAAATGTAATAGTGAAAATAAGAAATGTAAATTAAGTAAATAGATTGGGAAATTTTCAGATGTGATTGATGGAAGTCAAAAAATTGTATAAGATGTTAAAGTACGTTTAATTATTGTTGAAAAGGATATGTTGGAAACTAATATATATATATAAAGAGAACTGATCTGGTCCCTGATCATTTTGCTTGCCCCTTTCTGCCCCTTTCTTAGCTCTACAATATCCTTTTTGATGTGCAGCAACCAGAACTTTACACAGTATTCCAGGTCTGGCCGCACCGTAGATTTGCATAAAGGCAAATTTCTACAACTATCAATGCATTGTGAGGGGGAAAGGAGGAACTAGGCCCTTAATGGAAACAGGTCACAGAGCTGCACCTGATGAGGGTTCATGTGCCCCAGCACATGTGGGGGTGTGGGGGAAGCATACATAAGTCCAGAGAGGCTGGCAGGAAACACCCAAGTAGGACTAAAAGTATAGAGTATGAAATATAATAATGCACCTCATTCCAGCATTTCCAACAGACTCAGCATCCAGACTGGGAACCTGGTGTGCTTCTGAGTCGGGCAGGTGAAGGTGTGAGCGGCGGCAGAATGTGCCACACACACTGAGCACCACGGCAGTTACTCATGACAAGCTCCCATCTCTGTTTACAGGCCCACTGTGTGGCTTTGCCTCCTCACTCAGGAAGCTACCTTTTCCCAAGTCAGACCCTTGGTCTAAACAACTCTGGGGTTTCAGGTAGGGGTCCATCTCCTACCAGGAGATGCTGGGGACTGAACCTGAGACCTTCTCCATGAGCCCTACTACTAGGCCATGCCCCTTCCCATGCCCCGTTCCTGAGCGCTGCAAATCCCCATGCGCCACAATAAGTGTCCTCCTGTCCTGTTAACTTGCACTGCCTTGGCATAAGGCTCTGTGGTCTCATTTAGAGGAGAGGCCCGGGGAAGTTCCTGGAGGGAGCCAGGCTTCTCTAATGGGCAATGGTGCTAATTCAGTGCAGCTGTGTGGCCAGCAGGCAGGAATGCTCTCATCCCCCAGCGGAGCAGAGAAATGCAGGCTGGCTGTAACTCGGAGGAGCCGGCCTCCACTGCCAGCGAGGAAAGGCACTGGAAGAGAGAGAGAGAGAGAGAGAGAAACCTGGACTCACCTCAACCACAGCTTGCAGATGCGCCTGCGAAGAGGCCCATTCCATGGGCAGCAGCAGCAGCAGCCACAGCATCTGGTGGAGAGAGGGGAACGAGGAGCAGAGAAAGGCAGCCGCAGTAGCAAGTTATAGTCCTCTTCGAAGAGCAGCTGCCCTCCTCACCCAGCTGTCCCTACGGCAACTCCTGCAGACTTCTCTTGCTGGGCTGTGACATCAGGGCCCTGGCATGCAGGATGCCAGCTCCAGCCGCCAGTTTGCCGGGGAGTTCAGAGGTGTATGTGTGAGTTTGCGAGAGGCTCTGCATGAGAGGACGAGGAGCGTGCCTGTGTGTCTGAGAGAGGGAGAGTGTGCCTTCCTCTCTGTGTGGGGGAGCATCGACTGTTCCCTGCGCGAGAGAGGCTGTACGTGTGTGGCTGCGTGTGTGAGCAAGCCTTGCCAGCGCTGTTCCTCCATGTGGGAGTGTCTGTTTCTATGGGTGTGTGTCTCCAAGAGGACGTCTTTTGTCCTGGGTTTTTCTTTTGTTTTTTAGACACTTTCTTCTTTGAGAACAAGTTTGTCGAAGCTGACAGAAGTTGCCGGGGAGGGACTGGGGGGTGGTTTGCTCTTATTGCTCAGGGTGGTGGAGTAGCCCAAAGAGAAATGTGTGCCTGTTCTCTCTCTCCTGGAATGAACAGACAGCAGCATTGACCCACTAGGAGTCTCAGTTCCCATAAACTCAAAAGCTCCGGGATGGTCAGTGGAGTTTCAAGAACAGTGAGACCTCAGGCTGACCGAGCCACTGAGCCAGAACTGTGATAACAAAAAAAAAAAACAACAACAAAAAACCAACCTGAAAAGTTCACTGAAATAAAGATTGTCCTGGATGTAGCTGTTTTTTCATAGCATTTCAGATACGAGTTTTGTAGTTCTGTATTCTTCAGAGCTATTCAGTCATTATCTGGACTCAATACAGGCTTCTAAGTAATTTTAGATCAATAAAATATTCTGCGTCGTGTTACATTTTCATATCAACCGTTGGCAAGCTTTGACCATCAAGCTGATGATGTGCTTGAATTTCATTGGAACAAACATCTCCCGCTGGTTGTCACTCCGGGAAAGTAATGCTGAGAGTTTGAATGCATACACTGAAGAATACCATATGCACACAAAAGCATTACAAATTGTGAATCATGCACACACAACAAGACAACTTTCAAACCTTTGCTGGCAAGGGTTGCCTTGAAGCGCACACATTATATACACATGTGCAATGATACACATGTCACACAAAATCCTACAGATCCTCAAAAGTGAATATTAAACGTGGCATGAAAATGTTTTTAAAATCCTAAACCGACACAAGGAGCTTAATGGGTTGTCACGCTATGGGGTCCAACACCTTAACCACACTCATACCCTACTTGCTTTGTTGTCTTTTTCACTACAGTGGTACCTCGGGTTAAGTACTTAATTCGTTCCGGAGGTCCGTTCTTAACCTGAAACTGTTCTTAACCTGAAGCACCACTTTAGCTAATGCGGCCTCCCGCTGCTGCTGTGCCGCCGGAGCATGATTTCTGTTCTCATCCTGAAGCAAAGTTCTTAACCTGAAGCACTATTTCTGGGTTAGGGGAGTCTGTAACCTGAAGCGTATGTAACCTGAAGCGTATGTAACCCGAAGTACCACTGTACTGATTAAAAAAACTAGATTCAGGTAGGTAGGTAGGTAAAAAAAACTAGGTATAATAAATGACACATATATTTTTTAATTGAACATTTACCCCTCACAGCACATGGCAGAGAATGGCAGTGAGAGTGAGAAGGGGCTTCAGCCTTTTGGACCATTGCTATGTCTGTACTTTGGCTACATGCTGCCAGATTCCTGGGCATTCATTTCTCACACAACAAATGGGCCTGCAAAATTCAGTGAGTGGCATTTTGTGCTGGCACAACAGAGAAGACATGAGAAGATGTTGCATACAATAACTCTTAGGGCCAAACTAGGTGTGGTGTTATTTAATATGTATATTTTGGGTTTCGTAAATAGCCACAGGGAAGCCTAAGCAACTTTGGACCTGTTTTCTGAAAGTGTCTTTGCTGTGGTCAACTGCTTTTTGCAGTTCAAGGGAGGGTCTTCATTGGTAGAAAATCTAATTTGGCCCCCAGTCTAGCCTACTTGTATAGGGTTGCTGGTGTGGTAAAGGAAAGGTAGGAAACACTACCTTTTGTTAACAGATGTAATGAAAATGAACCAAATACATTTCCTAACACTCTGTCATTACATGCGGATTATAGATGTTTTGCAATACAACCCATTCCTTCTATATTAAAAAAGGGATACGTTATCCCAATCTCTCAAACAACATGAAGTATCTTTCAAAATAATCTATTTTAAACAGGTTGAAAGATTTAGGATGACTGAGCACACACATTTGACACCCCGCCCCCAGCCTTTGCCCCTAAAGCGGTCATCAAAAATGAGAGGATTTTCAAGCTCTTGTAGGCTGCCATGCATGAGGAAGGGAGCTGCAGTTGGCTCAGGGGCTCACAGGTTGGGTGGATGTGCTCTTCAAGAATAATACTTGAGTTTCTGGTTTAGAACCAAAAAGAAAATTGAAGGTAGAAGAAAATACCAGTTCTTCTTCTCCCTTCTCAAAATTTATCCAAAGTCATTAAGTATACAGGAATACCAAATCATTATTATCTGAGAGATCCATCTTGGAGTCTCTCAGTAAGTCAATGTTAACATTTTCTATGGTTTCCTTGGTGTAGGTGCATAGACCAATATGGTATATCTTAAGATGCACTCAAAAGTGTTGTCTAGGGTTTTTTGGTTGACCTTTAGAGCCTGAGGCAGAGAGGACAAGCCCGCAAGAGGTAGAAAATCTCCCTGCAAAGAAGATTGCATTGCTTTGTTTACAGCCGACTGAAATCTAATTCCTGCGTATAGTTTTCAGGGACTCAAAGTGTGTTGAAAGATCACTGGGTGTGCATTATGGATTAGAGTCTGTGTGGGTGGCTTAGTAGGAACGGCAAGCCAGCTTGTATGACAGGAAATGGATTGAGGTGGAGGAACACTCTATGGAAAGAAGAAGAACCTTCTTCAGATGATGCACACAGGTTTTTACCATTTGAGGAAGGTCTATAACTCAGTGGTAGAGCAGTGGTAGAGTCCCAGGTTAAACCCCAGGCATTTACATGTGCAGAAGAGAAAGTCACCTTATTGAGGCTGTGTACATTCTATACCTCAAAAGAACACTTGAAGCATATTTTTCTCTTCAAAGAATTCTGGGTACTGAGGTTTGTTAAGGTTGCTGAGATTTGTAACTCTTTGAGAGCACACAGAATTTTTGGAAATAAGGAATTGGCTTTGAATGTTGTTGTTAATAATAATAATAATAATAATAATAATAATAATAATAATACTCCACCCATCTGGCTGGGTTTCCCCAGCCACTCTGGGTGGCTTACAGCAGTGTTTCCCAACCGGTGTTCCGCGGCACACTAGTGTGCCGCCAGACGTTGCCTGGTGTGCCGCGGGAAAAATTGGCGGGGGGGGGAATAAAGGGGGAAAAATTATTCCCCCACCGCCAGGCGTGGGGCTGGGGAGGGGGAAGCCCGAGCTTCCCCCTCCCCCAGAACGGGACCCAGAGCCATGCCGAAGCTGCGCGCAGCTTTGGCATCGCTCTGGGAGCTTGCGGGGCTGGGGGAGGAGGAAGCCCTCCGCCAGCCTCCAAACCATGTCGGGAGACAGCGGGATGGCGCGCTGCGCCTCTCCCGCTGTCCCCCGAGTTTGCAGGGCTGGCGATGGGGAGGAGCAGGCTTCTCCCCCCGCCAGCCTTCCAGCCAAGTCGGGGGGCAGCGGCAAGGGCGCGCTGTGCCTCTCCCGCTGTCCCCCGAGTTTGCGGGGCTGGCGATGGGGAGGAGCAGGCTTCTCCCCCGCCAGCCTTCCAGCCAAGTCGGGGGGCAGCGGCAAGGGCGCGCTGTGCCTCTCCCGCTGTCCCCCGAGTTTGCGGGGCTGGCGATGGGGAGGAGCAGGCTTCTCCCCCCGCCAGCCTTCCAGCCAAGTCGGGGGGCAGCGGCAAGGGCGCGCTGTGCCTCTCCCGCTGTCCCCCGAGTTTGCGGGGCTGGCGATGGGGAGGAGCAGGCTTCTCCCCCCGCCAGCCTTCCAGCCAAGTCGGGGGCAGCGGCAAGGGCGCGCTGTGCCTCTCCCGCTGTCCCCCGAGTTTGCGGGGCTGGCGATGGGGAGGAGCAGGCTTCTCCCCCCGCCAGCCTTCCAGCCAAGTCGGGGGGCAGCGGCAAGGGCGCGCTGTGCCTCTCCCGCTGTCCCCCGAGTTTGCGGGGCTGGCGATGGGGAGGAGCAGGCTTCTCCCCCCGCCAGCCTTCCAGCCAAGTCGGGGGGCAGCGGCAAGGGCGCGCTGTGCCTCTCCCGCTGTCCCCCGAGTTTGCGGGGCTGGCGATGGGGAGGAGCAGGCTTCTCCCCCCGCCAGCCTTCCAGCCAAGTCGGGGGGCAGCGGCAAGGGCGCGCTGTGCCTCTCCCGCTGTCCCCCGAGTTTGCGGGGCTGGCGATGGGGAGGAGCAGGCTTCTCCCCCCGCCAGCCTTCCAGCCAAGTCGGGGGGCAGCGGCAAGGGCGCGCTGTGCCTCTCCCGCTGTCCCCCGAGTTTGCAGGGCTGGCGATGGGGAGGAGCAGGCTTCTCCCCCCGCCAGCCTTCCAGCCAAGTCGGGGGGCAGCGGCAAGGGCGCGCTGTGCCTCTCCCGCTGTCCCCCGAGTTTGTGGGGCTGGCGATGGGGAGGAGCAGGCTTCTCCCCCCGCCAGCCTTCCAGCCAAGTCGGGGGGCAGCGGCAAGGGCGCGCTGTGCCTCTCCCGCTGTCCCCCGAGTTTGCGGGGCTGGCGATGGGGAGGAGCAGGCTTCTCCCCCCGCCAGCCTTCCAGCCAAGTCGGGGGCAGCGGCAAGGGCGCGCTGTGCCTCTCCCGCTGTCCCCCGAGTTTGCGGGGCTGGCGATGGGGAGGAGCAGGCTTCTCCCCCCGCCAGCCTTCCAGCTCCGCTGTCCGGGGCGATTTTAAAATTCCGCCCGCCAGCATTTTAAGATTGCCCCGGACAGCGGAGAAGTCCTCCGCTGTCCCGGGGTTTTTTAAAATGCTGGGGGTGGGAAGAAAAGCCCTTGTCCCCCCCCCCAGCCTTCAGAAGAGGTCGGGGGACAGACTGTCCCCGGACCTGGTCTGAAGGCGGTTTCCCTAGGAACGCATTAATTGATTTTCAATGCATTCCTATGGGAAACCGTGCATCGCAAGACGAAAAACTCGCAAGACGAAGAGACTTGCGGAACGAATTAATTTCGTCTTGCGAGGCACCACTGTATCCGGAGAGGCGGCCTTCAGGCGAGTTTTAATTTTAATTTTCCTTCTCCCACTTAATGCCCCACGCTCGCCCGAGCAGCTTGCAGTCCTCGGTAACCACGGCGACCCGAGCGAGGGGAGGGAACAGGGAAGTTGAGGGCTGCGGCGAGCCGGGATGACGTCAGTGGGCCGTGCCGCCTCGCCCTGGCACGGTGTGAGAGCCCCGGCTAGTGGTGCGAGCTTCAGAATAAGTGGGATCCGCGTGCGCGAGACCGAGATCGCGGGTAA